CTCTTACAGGGGCCAGGAGCAGAAGCCTAGGAGACAGCAAAAAAAAAAAAAACAAACCACAATAAAAAAGCAAACATGTACCAGCAGTGCCCCAGAATCCACCTCTGACCTTCAACAACTCTTACTTCAAACACTTCCCAAGCCACAGGTAGTGTCTTTCATCTCATCGATCATATATGCTCATTAAAATTCCCACTGCACCCCCAATTTCCATAAAGAACAAGATAAATTAGTGCTGATTTAGAATTCTGATTAAGAATGCAAGATCACAATATATTTTATTACGTTCAGTTTGAAGGCTGATGTCATGAAACACGTTTAAAACCCAAACCTTTTATCAGTTGCCAAAACATTCCCTTCAGTTGTAGCACATTCAAGAAACTTCAGTTACAGAAAGGCACCTCTCACACTGACACCTGCAAATGGCTAAAAGGATATAAAAGTTTTAACTACACTGAAAACAGGACTGTGCCACATTAAAATACTGCATTTAGTCAGCACCACTGATGGCCTCTAGAACGCTTTCACTAAAGTGTCTCTAGGAGTTTCACAGACTCTCCTGTGATTATTTACCACAGTTTAGAAATATGAAACTCCTTTAGGTAGGGCAGTGGGGTGGTGATTCAAGAACTAAATAAAATAAAAGATTTGAAGCAGGATGTTATACAGTTGTACAGCTTTGCAAGCAGCTCTGTGAAAGCACTGAAGTGTTATTGGAATATTTAATGTAAAAAAAGTTAAGATTTGAAGTCTTGTTCAAGAGATAATATTAGACTTCCTACAACAGACTAGTGATCTAGCGTGATCAGGCCTACAGAGCCTTCTAAAATTCAGTATATTTAAAAATCATTGTGTAAAATCAATTCCAGTACCTGTTCTTAAAGTCCTTGAAAGCATCAGTTGGTGGTGACTTATTTCTAGGTCAGTTCTCTGACTCCTCAGTGAGAGCTGCCCAAAGCATAACATTTAGAAATTCAGATCAGTCACCCACATACTTGGGTTGCACTTTTCTCACTGCATGACAAGTATCTCTAAAAGCAAGGCACTGTTTCCTACAGGCTGGAACAGAACTAGGATGACCTCACTTTCCAGTTCTGTCCCTCCTTCCCTGATTTCATGTCTGGCATCAGACAAGTCCCGTCACCTCATTTTCCCCCACCAGTGAAGTGGGGAGAACACAACTTCTCCAAAGGAGCTGTAATAAGATATATTCCTAAATCCCTCCAATTAAAGACTGAAAAGAACACCCTGAATCACCAGTCACAAACCCCACCTGCAACAGGTACCACAACAGAAACTTCTATTAGTTCACAAAGCAGGACCTCAGGTTTCTGTGCCCAGAAGATTTTGAGAAACACTCTCATATCTAGAAGGGACATATTTACAGGTGCTTTGTCTTTCTTTTTTTAAATTTTGACTTAAACAGTGCTTCTTTCTCCCCTCCTGTATTTATAGATAGTAATCAGCCTCACTGGACTGCACAAGCTAAACCCATTCAGTGAAGCTCTCCAGCTCCTTTTTGTTCAGCTCCTTTCCCCTCACCTAATCCAGGTTACAGTGAACCTCCCTGGAACAGAGGAGCTCAGGTCCCACACACTGCTCTTTAGGAGGCATCGGTTCAGCTTTGTCCAGCATAAAGATGATATTCACCAAGAAAGGAATAAATAATGAAATAAATATCCAGGTAAAGATGAAATTCATCAAGAGCCCTGAGCTGAAATCCTCTTGAACAACTGGCATTTCTCTTCCTAATTTCGGATATTTTCCTGAGAGGCCAACAGAACTATCCAAGGGTGTCTTTACCCGTGGATGATGCTTTGGGAAATGAAGTTTTTGGTAAGTCCTGGGAGCCTGAGGTCATTGGCTCTTTGAAATATGCAGAAGATGGAGTAATATCAGACAATAGTCAAATGTCATCTCATCACAACTGGTTCTTCCCTCCCTTCCCCAGCTGATGACAACAAGCTTTTCATCAGCACCTGGTCTGTGGGTCCCTGGGGCACTCCCATAGAAAACAGGATGGAACACCAAAAGTTAACTTCCAGCCAAAACTAGGAGGTTTGCAGACTTCAGCAGGAATCACAAGCTGGATATTAAGGGCAATAATATGCTTAAAGGCTATTTCATGACCTCATTGCCATCCATCCACATGGACTTAATGATATGGAAAAATCACATAGGATAAATAAAACCTTATAACCAAGTTACAGTTTATTTACTACTCTGTTTCTGAAAGTTATTATCTTTGCTTTGCTGAGCAGATGACTCAGTCTTCACTAAAAATGCCTGTGATGAGATATTTGGATACACCAAGCAGAGTCCCACTGACCATGCCAGAAACAGCAAACAAGGGGTTTATAACTCATCAAAATGGAATTTCAGAAGCGAAGGCATTTACTAGGACCTACTAATTCCCCTGTGCTAAAAATCAAAAGCTTTCTGAAAACAATAAATATGGCTGAGAGCTAATTTTTTCAAAGTAAGAATCTTGAACAAGATGAGAATAAATTTTGCCAACCACTTTCACATACACTCTCTCTGTCTTTCTCTCTCTGAGTAAAATAAAACAAATAGACTTTTCATGGTCACTCTTACCAAACAAAGTCAGTGGAAAAAGCAAGATCCTGCTAAATACCCTGGGAAGCTTCTCAATTTATGTTTAGTACTGTTGGATAATGCAGAACAGCTCTGTCAGGGAGAGCAGCTCACTGACAAGGGCAGAAGAATAAAAACTCTCATGCAAGAAACTAACACAGAGTTTGAATCTCCCAACTTGGGAGTTTTATAAGAGAACTGTACATGAAAAGCTGAAGCAGCAAATGACCCCAGAATCTGAGAATAATCCCTTCCCTATACTCCAAAAGTATCCAAGAAAGCCAGTGTCAGCTGAAGAACAGAAGGCATCTGAAACAATGGCTTTATAAAGATAACTGGTTTTCTTTACTAGTGTCTGACTTGTCAGGACAGGAATTTTTATCAGCAGTTGTTCCAGAGAGGTTCAGAAAACAAACACAAGTTTTCCTGGCTGACGTATCCCACCTCAGTAACTGGAGCAGGCTGATTTCAAAAGCATCTGTGTGATCAAAAACTGCCAGAGTTCCAGCACTGATACATACTAACCACAAACTCTCTGGGAAGCAGAACAGTTCCCATCCATAGGGAAGTTCAGATTATGTACTCCAGTGTCCAGAGCTTACTTGCATTTTATTGGTAACATCCACTACCTGGTTTCATTAGTTTAAGGGGATTTAAAAATACATCATGAGGTGATAAAAGCTGCCTTCTGTCCCACAGGTGGGGATATCTGTTACAGGACGAAAGCTGAGGAGGGGCGGGAGAAAGGGAAAATCAGTTGAAAGGGATTCAGCTCAGGTGGCTGCAAGGGTAACTCAGGATTTCCATTGACAAGTACTGCTTTCTTCTGATGGAGACACCCCTAGTTTTGGGAGATGCTCCTGTCCATCCCCAAGAGGTGCTGGAGCCAAGCAGGAACTTTAAGGAACATCACTGGCACAGAAAAAGCAGCAGAGAGGACAAAGCAAACAAGCGTGTAATCTTTTTTCCAGGTAACTCCTAAGATGGGTCCATGGCATTATGACAACTTTGCTTGTGTTCCACCTCTCCTTTAGTGAGGCCACTAGCTATCTGGGGTCAGGGCAGAGGAAAATCTCATCAACAGAGCAAATGCACTGTGATGCAGCAGAGAAACCCCCCACTGGCACCAGCTCCATGCAAACCTGATTCAGACTTACAGGAGGACACAGTACCACATCCAACACAATTTCCCTTGGGATGGGAGAGCCTTCCCCACCCATTGCTTTCACTGCAGAGTTAGATCACACTGCACCTATTTACAGAAAGAAACGTGCATTTTGTGCAATCCAAAGGCAGAGCCAAAGCAACACAAGATGGGCCTCTGCAATACAGCACCTTCAGTATTTCCCTCCCTGCCACGAACATCAAAGTAACAACCAACAGCTTGTTATGGATGTGCTTGATTCTATTAAATCTTCTGTTTACAGAAGTAAGAACGTTAGAGATTCCTGTGAGTAAACATCACATATGAGAAAACACAACTTGCTCATCTTCTGTTCAATGCTGAAATGAGCAGCAAACATTCTGGCTCGTGCCGTGTTCCCGTGATAAAAACACTCAATCTGAACCCAACTCACAACGAAGTTTGGAGCAGATGAAGCCCAGCCCAGCCCCGAGCCTGCTCTGCAGTGCAGTGAGGGGGTTCCGCTGGGGCACAGCGACATGGTCTGAATGGGCTGCCCATCCTCGCATCGCCTGGACTTTGCTTTTTATCGAACAAATTGCTCGGGTAAAGCGGAGCCCCAGGGAGGGCTGATCCACCTCCGCACCCACGGACAACTCCCGCTGCTCATTCACGGCCCGGGGCTGCCTGGGGCTACGGGAGCACCGAGTCCCGCGTTTCCACGCGTTAAGAGCACAATTCCGCTCACGGAGCGGGTGCCGGGGGCGCAGGGCAGGGCGGCCCTGCGCTGAGGGGCGGCCGGGACCGCCAGGGTCGGGCAGAGCTGCCGCTGCCCTCACGCTCCCGGCGCTCCCTCCCCGCCACGCCGGCCCGCCACGCCGCCCGCGCTCCTTCCTTACACGGTGATGTGCCCGGCGCCCCGCACCGCCACGGGGTCGGGCGCGTCACGGGGCCGCGGCAGCTCCTGGCTGCGCACCACGGGCTCGGGCTCGTCCTGCTCCTCGTCCTCCTCCTCCAGCTCGTAGATCGTGTCGAAGTCCGCCATGTTGGGCAGCAGGACGCTCATCGCCGGCCCCCCGCCCTCCCGCCGCGCCTGCGCACCGCGCGCCGGGGGCGGGGCCGCGTCCGGGACACGGCGGCGGGAGGCGGGAGCGCGGCGCGCAGGCGGGCCGAGGGAGAAGTGGGCGGGGACGACACCGGGGAGCGTCTGAGCGCGGTGTCTGTGTCAGTGTCCCCGACACAGTCTGCTGGGAGGCAGTGCCCCCGCGGAGTTGCGCCGGTCTCGGTGACCAGAGGGCGGCTGCCTCCCGCGCCCCTCGGGTGCGCGCGCGCGCCTGTTCCTCCCCTCAGGAGCCCCCGGGGAGGTCACGAGCCGGCGCGAGGCTCTGCCGAGGCTGTGTTTGCCGGTTACAGCCAAGCCGGAGTAACCTCACTGATTTTTGTTTTCAAACATTCCGTCTAAGCCTTCGGTGCACAAGGAACTCGAATATCTATACTACCGTCAGGATTTATAACTCCCCCCTCACTTCCCGCCCCGCTCCCCTCAGGTGCACGCACGCCCCTTCCCGCCCCTTAGGAGCGCCGGAGCCAGCGCGAGGCGCTGCTGAGGGAGGTCGCGTTTGCCGGTTGTAGTGAAGCTGGACTAACCGTGTTGAGTTGTGCTTTCAAAAAATCCGTCTTATCCTTCGGTGTACAAGGAACTCGAATATATACACTACCGTTAGGCTTTATAACTTCCCCCCCCCCCTTCCCCTCCCTCAGGAGCGCGGGGGGTCACGAGCCGGTGCGAGGCGCTGCTGAGGGAGGTTGTATTTGCTGGTTGTAGTGAAGCCGGAATAACCTTGTGGAATTTTAAACTTCTTTTTAGAAGTTCCCTCTAAGCCTTCAGTGTACAAGGAACCTGAGTATCTATACTACCGTTAGTGTTATAACTTCTCGCACTTCCCGCCGCCCCCCCAGGTGCGTGCGCCATTTCTCCCCGCAGTCCCTCAGGCGCTTTCAGGCGCAAAGAAAAACTAAAGAGGGTCGTTGAAAGCCTCAGTTCCCAAGGTATTATTCTCCAGCTTCACTCAAGCGAGAAGAAGAGGTTTTTGCCAGCCCTGGGTTGCCGGCTGGGCTGAGGGCAGCGCTGACACCTGAGGGGGCTCTGTTGGCTGCTGTGGACACCCCCATGTTCAGCTTGGGCAGAGCTGTTTAAAGGTCTCCTGCAGACCTGTTCTGCCCAAGGAAGGCATGAAAAGCCCCAAGGAATCCTTCCGTGTCCGAAGCATTGCTTGCGGGTGGCACAGAGAAAGGGAAAGGACCAGGTCGTGCCCCCTCGCCCGGCTCCCTCAAATCAACTCAGCACTGATTTCCCATGCGCTGAACAGTGACCTCCCTTCAAGAGGTACCGGGTTCGTTTCAGGGCAAATCAGGCTAAGATCAACGCCTTCACTGTGTCTGCTCAGAGAGAGGGAGCAGGAGTTGAGGCTGGAGTGAATTCGCAGCCCTTCAGGTTGTGCTGGAGGTGGAACCGTGGCTCATTCCCCTTCCCCCTCGGCGGCGCGAGGGGTTGCTGAGGGAAGGCGGGGGAGGTGCTGTTCCTCCTCTTTTTAGACCCCTTTTCCAGGTGTATTTCTGTGGCGATTTGAACAAAACCAGCCCTGTAGTGCTTCCGCTTCTTCCCCATTCATTTTTCCCAACTCGCGGCCGAGGGGAAGGTGAGGGAGGGTTTGGAGTTTTCCCGAAGGTTTGAGGTGGTTGCCTGGAGTTTGGTGATGGGTTTGGAAAGAGAGTTACGTGCAGGGTGGTAGAGTAGTGAGAGAGAAGAAAATCCACATAGGAATAGCAAAATTGGTGAAAAAAACTTTCAGAATAGTGCAGGGGAATGCCCCGCCCCAGCACACAGGTGTAAATTATTATTGAGGTAATAAGCACTTAATTACTCTCCTACTGCAAATGGAAAGTAGCCAAAAAAAATTATTGGTGCTTGTAATTGCAGTAGAGGAATGAAAAATGAGATTCCATAGGGGGGATTTTGGTCTGGTGGGTTTTATTTTGTTTTTTAATATTAGTGTAGCTACCATAAAGCTTTGGGTCTGGTATGTATCCAAATCAGAATTCCTGACCCACAGCTACTGTAAGGAAGGAGCTCACCTCCTCCTACACTAGAAAAAATCTCTCCATCCCTGTCTGCTGTTTTCAGGAAAATACTTCTCTCATAAATCAACTTTACTGTTTTACAGGTGTTTCTAGACCGCAGCAAAATGCAGATGACTTGACTGTGAAAATTTTTGCTGCTTCCCAAAGCAAAATTTTATGAGCTCCAGTTTTATCAGTGCTCCATGCTCTTCCTTCAGCACATTATCTATCTTATGTGGAGCTGCAGGTAAATCATACTCTATTGACTTGAGGGAAAAAAAAGAGACAAGTTGTTATAATATGAAATTACATGTTCTATGTTCTCCTATTTTTGTCAAAACACTTTTCTCTTGTTTAGTGATGAATACTGTCAATATACTGCAGGAAAAGTAAGTCATTGATCAAATATTGAAAATACATCCTGCTTAGAAACCTGTCAAAACAGAGAAAATTATTCTATACCTGAGGATCTGATATTTTTCCGCACATCTTCATCTTTATGTAGATTATTGCCGTTCATAACCCACGGAAATAAAATCCTGAAACCACTGAAATAAAGTTATATATGGGGTTGTTAATAAGGTACTGGCCTTTATTTTACTCTCAGTGAAATTCCAGGTGTGTGCTTTAACTGATGTAAAAGCCAAAAAGGTAAATCCCATAACTGAGGACACAGGAAGAAATGATAATTCTGATGCTGTGCATTATAGGCTTGAATATTTAGTTGAGATCATCTTAATTCTTGGCAGCTTTGGTGAAATACCCATGAGAAAGGTAGTTATATTTAAAATATTATCACAGGGTATGTAACCTGATATCCTTTTGGCCAGTGTTTCCTATGAGAAAGGGCTAAATGCAAGCCTTTGGGTTCAAAGCTACGTGCTTTGTGAGCAGAAAAGCCAGACAGCTCTGGGTCTACTTCATGGAAAAGTTAAAACTCCTGTTCCTGATTTATTGTGGAAGCATTTTCCATCACTGTCCCTGCAGAATGCTAAAAAAAAATTATGAAAATTAATTGCTTCCTCTTCTTCACGGTGCTACAACATTTAGTTTTTGCTCAAAGCTTTGTCTGACTGCTGATTTTTATTAACCTTGCTGGTGTCTTTCCATTTCTTTGACTCTTCTGACCTGGTGAGCAAAGAGTTTTTACAAGTGCTTCTATACTCAAAGGAATAGTTTGAGTAGAGGGCCACAGGTAGAGTTTTGAACTCTTACCCGGCTAGATGTGAAATGCATCCTCTTAAATAATTAGAGTAAGGTGTTTATAAGATATTTGGTATCTTTTTCTGTGTTTAGCTAACTACTGGTATCAGTAATTCTTATTTATCATCATTATTTCACCAGAACCGTGGCTTTGCAGTGCTCCCATTAATGGAATTGTGAGTGCATCAGTGGCAGGGATTTCTTGGCATGGAAAAAAATAGAAAAGATTTCTTGACCACTTGTAGCAGCATCTCTGTAACCACATGAGTTAAGAGACCCTGCCCCATCTGCTAAAGGATGTTTATGTTCGTGTGTTTTCATAAAACTAAAATGACACTGGCAGTGATTTTGTTGATATGAAGTGTTTGGATTTCAGAATAGGTTCCCTTCAAAATGCCTCTCTGCTGAAATGAAGCTGTTTTGAGGGGAAGGATAACTTAGTGACCTTCTAAATATTAGAAACCCAGAGATAATGATAAAGACAGCCCTCATATTCAGGAGAGCTTTCTAATGAAGTCCAGCAGTGCTGTTCAACATGACTCTAAATGCTTTGGAATAGCAGGTTGCCACTGAGGTGTCTCACTGACTTTTGGCAAAACTGGGTCTGTACTGTACAGAGCTCAGGAGGGTAAGGGACTTAAACCTGTCTCAGTGCTGTCTGACTGTGTGCTTATTGCTCTGCATAACCTTTGGATGCCAAAGGGAGAGAGGAAAATCCTGGAACAGACAGCTGCAGGTGGCTGAGGAGCAGTCCACGGCCTGCTTTTGGGAATAAATGAGAACAGAAGAGGCAACTTGGGAGGGCTTAGGCTGGAATTTCCCATGGTCGTGACACCACGCCGTCCTGGAACGATCAGCTTTCACTGGGATAGGCACTGACTTGGGATGTGGATCAAGCCTGTTAAGAAGATTTTTCTAGAGCCTTTAGGATACCCCTTGGGTGCTATAAAACCAAGCTCACTTCCCATTCCTACCTATTATGTGTTCAATTTTGTTCAAATAAAAACCTCTTGGAAATTTTAGAAGGACAAAAGAAAGGAGAGAGAGAAGCAGTGTGTGTGCCAGAAAGGGAAATTAACCCCAGGGCCTTGGGCAAGGATTTACCACCTTAGCATTAGATATGACAGCGGTGAGATTCAGGTGTCAGGGAGAGGGGTGGCAAACAGGGAGCCATCCAGCAGCAGGAGCAGGTTTCACTGAAGAGCCTCCATTTTAATGCAACCTGTGTTCTGATTTAATAAACAAGCTCGTGTTCCAGCCATTTCAGTGGATGTTGTGCCAGGAGGGCACATGTGATGGATCAAGGCTTGAACTCCATTCGGTACTGAACAGGTGGGGCAGCAATTTGCTGAGTTGAAGGGTGAAAAGAGCAAGTGTAGAGTTTTGACACGATATACTATATGACCCCTTTCTCATGAGTGAAACCACAAAAGGAATCTCTTTAGTTGGAAAAGGTACTTTGCTATGCCAGCTACATATTTAACATCTTGTGCTTTTTAAGTAATAGGTTGAAGTCAAAGTTCAGCTGAAGTTTCAGTGGACTTTTTTTTATGTGTTTGTGTGTTCTCTCCTGTAGGAATGATGACTGTGGGTAAAAACAGACCATTTTAGAAAAACACCTTTTGTAACCCATGCCTGTGTTTGAAGTATGTCTGCTGAGTATTGGGTTTGAGAGGTGAATACTACAGGGAATTTTTTTCAGCCTGATTTATCGAACTTTATGGCTTCACAGGAGGAAATATTTAGAAGTCTCATTTCAGTACTGTTTTAGGATGCTGCTTATTTGATGAAACTATTATGCCATAAAAACTGGGTGATTTGTGGAGAGATGATGGGCTCTGGCAGTGTTTATCCACCCAAATCACTTCCTTTCTTGGAATCAAGTGTTTTTATGTAGAGCGTGAAACACAAAAAGAGAGCAGGAAAGAGAGGAGATAAAGCACAGTATTAAATAGAAGCTCTATTGAGAGAAAATAAAGTGAATGCTAATGGGGACCTGAGAGATTCCAAGTCTTCCAATGTATTTTTTCCTTGTTTGTTCCATATAAATCCCCACCAGTCATTCTTCAGAAGGAAGGACATACAACAAGTGATGTCATATTGGCTGCCAGAATTCCCTCATTTCCCACACTTGTGTGTTTCAACAAAGGAGGAGGTTGTTGGATGAGAGGAATATACTCTTGGAGTCTGGAGAATGTATTTTAAGTCTGGTGGACAAACCATCATGTTTCTTGATCAACTGATACAAACTCTTTTCCCAAGCTGAGTTGCATCTCACAGCAAATCCACATCATTTTGTTTAGCAATAGAAATGTGTAGCTCATTAGGCAAATTTGGATACGTTCAATTGCTGAAGGAAGGCAAGTCAGGAGTGATGGGAGAGGTTTAATGAAATTGAGTTTGTGACACAAATATTCTGTAGTGTCTAGGAGGTTTTTGTGCAGGGGTGTGCAGCTCTGTGCTGCTTATACTGAAATTGCCTGATGGAGATCCATTTTCAAAAGTAATCTAAGTTTCAAGAGGTTGTCAGGTTTCTGATCCAGGTTTTTGCTTGATTTGTATGACTACTACAAGCAGCCAGTTAGCTATTTAAGTTATGCTCTCTTCTCTGCAAATTGATATTTTAAATATCTTATAATGAGGTCCTTTCCAATTTCGGGTCTAAACTATCTGTCCTTACTGTAACTATGGACAAATCTGTATTTTTCTTTATTTTCTCCCACAGATCAATATTTAGAAGTTAGTTAATAAAGCCAGATCACTCTGGTGCTACACTGAGTGTCAGCATGAGCAGTTTGTGGCAAATTGTTCCTTCTTGATGAAGTATTTATAGGCAGTGGGACTGAGAAGGGCGATTGTTGCCAAAGCTTTGGCACCCCTACAGAATTCTCCTAAGAATAAAGATGATTCAGATAAAGGCCAGGAGGGATTTGCTGGCTGCTGGAATCAGACAGTTGTGTGATGCACAGTTCTCGTTTGATATCAGCTGGTGTTCCAGTGGCTTGCTGCTCTGCAAACTCCAAACACCAACCAAACAGATGAATTTAAACAGTGGGATGGTTTTATATTTACATAAAGGGAAAAACACAGGAAACTCAGAGAGCTTGGGGAAGGTCCCCACTGGGTGAGAAGGGTGGCATTTGATTTATTATTATTTTAATTGCCTAACAGTGCTAAGGGAGAGTCTAAAGTCCCTGGAGAAACCTTCAAAGGGGGAAAGATAAATATTGAAAAATGTTATTTATAGCCTTTAGTGTTTCACCCATGTAAATACAAAAATGAAATCCAAGGGCTGATCACATCTTCTGAAGTTTCTCCTTCGCATAAGCAATGCTGAAGAGGCAAACACAGCTGCCCAAAAATAATGGCAATGTGAGGCCTTTGGCTGTGTGTCCTCCACCCAACTGCCTCTCCCGGCCCTCGTGTTCCCAGGCTGCTGTTGGCAGAACGTGGGTGTAGGATGGGCTCCTGTCAGACTCTCCCGTGATCCATAATGGGCATTGAGACGTGCCAGCATGGAGTGCTCCATTGGATTTGATTTGGGAATAATGGCTGCAGTCAGAGACAGAGGAAGGATTTTCTGCTTTCAGATTCTTGTCATTTCCCCTCTCTATGGCCTCCCAGCCTCCTGGTGTGGAACTCTGACTGCATGGTTATCACCCTCTGATCAAGTTTACTAAAAATTATTCTGATCAGTCCAAAAGTGTTTAATTTTCTTTCCCTAGATTATTTTGAGAAACAGCTGTGTTGCTGCACTGAGACTGAAAGGGATGTTATGATCTGGGTGGGGGTAGCTGTGTGCAGTACAAGTTAGGGGGAATAACTTCTTATCTGACTCAGTCATAGCCAGAGAAGATAATCCAATACACTTTTTAGGCTTGGACACCATTATCTAGTGCATGAAAGAGACTGTCCCCCCCAAATATTTATTAATATATGCTTCGGAAAAAATTCAGGATGAAGATCATGAAAAAGGAAAACACTTTTTATTGACAGGATTGATTTTAAACATGCCATAGGAGGTGCTTTGTTTCCCATTCCAGCTCTGGTTTGACACTTAAAATAGGCTCATTTTGAATGATTCCTCGGTGGCCTGTGGTTGTTTTGAAGTCAGTGGCTCCTCTGTCCAGTTTGTCAGGGCTCTGGGGTGTTTGCTGCCTGCCTGGCCAGTCATGCAGACTGCAGCTTCTCTAGAATGTGTTGTACGTGAACATGGTAAATAACCACATCAGATTTGTGTCTCAGTTTTGACATAAATGAGAAGGAAAGAGCAATCTGAAGTTTAGGAAGCATTTTTAGCATGCAAACATAATGAATGATGTGTTGTGGGTTAGAGCTCCTCACTTGCCATTCTTTCTTGTTGATATGATGACCGACCCCAGAAAAAACCCCGAAAACTAGAAGAAAGTGCTCTCTCTCTCTCTCTCTCTCTCTCTCTCTCCGTTCCTGTGCCACCAATAACCCTCAGAACAGCCCTTCTCTGCTCTCCACAGAGATGGACTTTCTGGGGAGTTGGGCTTTGCATACCAAGGTAAAGGTGCTCTTCCCTTTTTCTTGTGTATCTGAAGTATGAGTTTCTTGGGAGATGATTTGATCTGGTACCTCCTTCAGGTATAGAAGTGCAACACTTCCATGACTCTAAACAGAACTAGATCTCTCTGTGGGTATTCTACAACTTGCTGCTCAGTCTCCTAAAATGTCCATCATCTCACTGGGACACCAGTGGGCAGATTTGGAAGATCCTGAATCAAAGCCATGCAGATAAAGTCTCAATTTCTCATCAGGCTGAGTTTTGTACCTGTTTATATACACAAGATTTTGTGTTTACAGTTTGTTTGCATTAAGATATACCTATTTATTTGAGCTATGTGATAGGACATTATTAGAAAATATATTGGGGAACCACCCACAAATGCTTACAGTGAGTAAATTCTTATCCTGTGTTACAGGATTCCTTCCTAGTTTGGTTGGAGACATGCCCCCAAATATATAATTCAGTATTTATTTTTGAAGGGGTTATTCTTGTGACTCCTGATAGAGTTGCTTTCATGGAGTTACTCTTAGAGAATTATTTTTAAATTATTGGGGAACAGTGAGACACATCTTCAAATATAAGTCATCTGGTGTATGGAATGCAGATGCTGAGAGTTTTGGTGGGTTCTGTCCATATTGTTCAGTGCATTTTGAGTGCTCACTGAGACGAAGAACAGCAGAATTTAATCTGCTGGTTCTGAGAACAAGTTTGCTATTGATGAAATAAGTGATGCCTGACTTTTCGTATGCCAGATAATGCTGATTTCTGTTTGTTTTCTGCTGTTTTCCTTTTTTATTACCTTTGCCCCTCTTGGCCTTTTCAGTAATATTAAATTTTTCCAATAGAGCACTTAACTTGTGTGCTATCAAAAAGCTCCCTCTGTGAAATTCCAATGAACAGTACTACTGTGTGGGGTTTGGGGTTTTTTTAGTGCTTTGGGTTTTCTTTCTCCTTTTCTCAGACTTCTAGATATCATTGCTGCCTTCTCACCTGCCAACATGGACTGATAATTAAAGCAAACCACAGCATGAGCATGTTTATCCTTAATTTGTGCTCTTTCAGGAGTGCCCATGAAGGGAACATTTCTTTGGTGACATTCGTGCACTTTGGGAATGTTGAGCTGCAGGTAACAACTTCAAAATAACACTGTCAGCTACTTGGGGGTATTTCTTACCCAAAATAAGTGTCATATATAAAGTCAGTGGCTTAAGACTGCTAGTATTTAGCTTAAAATGTTTAGAGACGTTAAAAATTCTTTATTTGCTTTTGGGGGGTTTGGTGGTAGTAACAGTCCTGTTTCCATTACATTTTTGCTCATATTTTTGAGCAGCAGTATATGCAGTCATTGAAGATTGAAATAATGCTTATCTTCCAAATTATTTGGCATTTCCTAATGTGCATGAGAAATGACTTCATTTCCTACAATGGAACAGATCTTGGCAGGTTTGGTGTATTAGGTATCTGTAACTATTGCATCCTTGAATACAATGGCATAGGGCAAAGACGATTTGTGTTGTTTAATTAAATGCAATATGTTGGTATAACGACATTATTATTTTTCTCGAGTATTTAAATGTGTTTTGAATGTTTTTGTTGTTTTCAGAAAGTAGCATTCTTTTCAATACATGTAAGTGTAAATATTTATTAACATCTACTGTTTACTCTAATTATATAAATGTAACAACCCAAACACACACAGCTTCTTATATTTTCTGCAATAATACTCTGTTTTATAATCAGTCCCCTTAGTTCTCTGTGGGTATATGTGGTCAGACTAGAACTACATTTACTTGAACCTTTATTGTCTCATTCTTTGTGTCAGTGTCTGAAGCAAATTACCTGCTGTTCAAAGATATTGAGAGATGAATCTTAGCAGCACAAGTTCCCTGAGATTTCTGCAACAATTAAAACACTTTGACAGCAGTCCCAGCTCCCGTGCTCAGAAACAGCTCTCTAGAGGCAGTGAAATGAGAAGGGTCCTTTGCATAAGTGAGTTTTAAAGGTGGGGAAATCCATTCCTGCTTTCTCTTTTTTCCTGTTTTTTTTCCCTCTGTTCATTCTGAAACCATGACCTGGTGAATGTCACTGGGCTGTAATGCACTGATGCCGTGGGGAGGTGGGAACAGGGAGCTGGACAGTTCGGTGGGGCTCAGCGACCCCGAGTCGCTCTGGGCGGAGCCCCCGCTGCCGTCAAACTGCGAGATTTTCTTCTTGAGCAGCTTCCTTTCCTTTGCCCGCCGGTTCTGGAACCAGATCTTCACCTGGGCCATTAGAAACGGTATTGGATTAGTGCAAAGGGCTGGGCAACCTTTCACAGCAATTAGAACAGTGAAAATGGAGAGAAGGTAAAAAACATTAGGAAAAAAAACCCCAAAACCTGGAGCAAGGAAATGAACAAACAAAAAGCCCCAAAACACACACCCCACACACAAAATGACCCCCCCTCACCCTGCTATCAAAACCCCACAAACCAAACCACTGAATCTATGCAGTGAAAACTTTTGGCTTTCCTCTGTGTTCATTTTCTGCATTATAATCAATAGAAGATTACTTTCTGTTCTTGGGCCTGGTGTGAAGGGAACGTGCTGTGTTATCTGTGGGAACACAGGGATCAACACACTCCTCGAGACTCAGAGGCTCCCCGAGTTCATCATCCCAGCTTTGCCAGTGGCTGTGTCACACTTTAGGAAGATGCAATTAGGGAATAATTTTGAAGATTTCTTTATTATCTGTGTTACAGATTAATTCAAAGCCAAGTACTGAGGGTTCTTTTTCTTCACTTATGTTGGGAGTGATTTTTGTGTGTGCATATATTCCTATGTGGTTTTAAAGCTTTGATTGCTTTTATTATGTATTATATATTTATATCTCTATTTATATACCTGTATTTTTCAGATACATACATACAGTCACATGTATAACTAGATATCAGCATTACCTATTGACATTCAATTTCCCAGACTAATTGTGCAGGTGTAAAGACTCCTGTCTATTTAAAACCTGCTTTTAGTTTAAGTATTTATATTTTATTTCCTTATGTGAAAGTGTGAATGAACAGAAAGTTTATGTTCATACTTAACAGTTTTTATTATAGTGTAGAAGGTGTGTTGAATACAATATGATAAAGTTGTGCCATTGCTTTGTATTCAAAATCTAATTATTATTTTCTATTTATTTTTATTACCTTACTGGTAATGGCATTAAGTAGCATTTAGTTTTGTCTGTCGTGAGTCCTGTAGAAATACAGATAAATTAAATATTTCGTCTCCGTTATACTTGAAGGAAATTTGCCAAAGGTTGGGTGGCATTAGGAGCAGCAGTGTAAAAAGGAACTGCTGATTTTGTGCAGTATCTCTGGTGATTCCAGGCATGTCTATGTTCTAAGTCAGCCAGCTTGCATAATATTAAGGTGCAGGTTTTGAATCTTTCATAACTGCAGTGCTCTGAAAAATTTCCAACACAGCTCTGTCCTACTGTGTGACAAACTTTAGTCCATCCATGGTTTCCATTGTCACTGCCTGGGGCCACTTGAGTCTGCAATCTATGCACTCCTTGGGTCTGGGATTGAATGACACTGCACTAAAATGTGTTCATGAAAATCCAGGGCTTGATCTGTATCCCCACACTTCCTCCACTGGTCCCTCTCTATCCCATGCTCCTGCATAGACTGAATGCAAGGCCAGAGGAGGCCACTGAAAGAGAATATTTTAGAGAACTGGATGTGTATATTCAGAAAGAACAAATGCTTGTAAAATACTAAAAAGAAAGATCTCTAGTTTGGAATTAGCTGAGGGCAATAATCTGGTTGCTAAATGAGATGCCCTATTCAATATCACCTTATCCTCCAGCTGTAGTTCTGAAGGGTTGGATCCAAGAGTTACTGCAGAGCTGTGCTTTCCAACACAGGGATTTTAGGGAACTCTTATCCTGAATTCCTCTAGACTTTGTGTGAGCACAGCTGACAGATCTGGGCCCTGCTCAGGGGAGTGTCTCTGTTCAGGACACAGATTAAATATGTACTCTATGTGAACAAATGCAGAGCTGCTTTCCAAGGAAGTAATGGATCTAAGTATGCCCTTGAACATTCCCTGCCTGGATAGTCTTGGCTACATGTATTTGTATAATAGTATCAAATGTGGCACCAAACTTTGCAGCCTAAAGCAGCCTGTACGTAGGAAGTTTGAACTACTGCTGTAGGTGAAAGACCTGTGAAAATGACAGCAAAAAGAGATCCTGACTTGAAAGTCCAGGGCTGGAAGAACCCCTTCAATATGCTGAAATCTGAGGAAGAATGTGGCCTGTAGGAGCTGTGCCAATACATTTGTGACAAAAAAAAGCTCTTAAATATCTCATTTGGTTGCTCTTTGAATGCTCAGGTTTGATTTTCCTGGCTTACAGCTCAAATACATCCAATGCTTTGGATTTTTTTCCTGGCCATTACTTTGTGTGGTTTCAAGAAGAAATAAAGTTGTGAATGTCAGGACTATTGGGAACATAGCTAAGGTAACATGAAGCTGAACTGTTTAAATTCTATCTGTGGAGGAAGGTGGAAGGTAAGACTAAGTCCTTTGTGTAGTATAGATGAATTCCTAATGCTTCATTACCTCTAACTGGAGGTTTCTGCCAAATGAAGTGTTAATGAGTGTGGGGGGTGTGGTGTGTTCCCGGGGATGGAGGGCTCTGGGTACCTGTCTTTCTGATAGTCCCAGGTTTGCTGCCAGTTCTGACTTTCTCCTGATTGTGATGTATCTGTTGCAGTGAAATTCCTTCTCTAATTCCAGTCTCTGATGGTCTGTGTAAACAACTCGGTACTTTTCTTTTGTTCTTGTTTTACCTGTTTAGGAAAGAAATGTTATTAATATTAAGAAATATTAATTTGATTTTCCATAACAACTTTCAGACCTCTCCAGTATTTTACAGACATTAATTAAACTACTCACATGGGATTGTTTTCTGTGGCACAGAGAAGGAATATGAGGTGCAGGGTAAAATAAGAGAGTACTGGTTACCATAACTGTCTTTCCCTCTTTATCCCCCTCTCTCTGTAAACATATATTTGAATGTGAAGCTCTTAAGTGATAAACACCCTGAAGCATCTTCAATAATTCATAGCAGTACATCACTGGTGCTGGCTATATTAATCTCAAAGGGGTTTCATTACGGTGCTCACTAAAGGGACTTGTGTGTATTTGAGAGCAGAAATACCCAGGATTTCCAGACTGAAATTCAGTCACAATTTTAGTTGTACTGTGGCCTAATTCTTTACCTGAGTTGTTAAAGATCACTTCTCCAATACAAAGAAATGTCCTGCTGGAAGTGCTTTTGCTTTCTTGACTGGCCACAGGACCTGCTTATAAGCTCAATAATAATTTGAATTTACTTTTTCCAACAATGTCCAGCCTTGCAAGGTGCTGAGTGTCTGCAGAGGTATTCCTGGGGGTACTCTGGGCTGGCTTCCCTTTGGAGTTGGAGGCAATTTGTAAGATGAGGCAATAAAATACTTGTAAAAGGATTTCAGGATCATCCTCTCTCTAACATATAAAAGAACTATTCTTAGGTACATTAGATAAATACCATTGAGAGAAGCATTACTGAATGTTTAGAAGATATCTCTCATTTCATATAATTTTTAAACAATTCTTCATGCAATAATAATACAGAGAGATCAGTTTTCAACTTATTTGTTCTCCTTTGCACTTTCAACAGCCAAATAGATAGTTTTCCTTTTTTCTTCTGATCTTCCCAGGTTTTTTTGATGTGAGTTTTCTGGGACAAACTGTAGGACAAAGACTCCTTTAAAGTGATTCCCTAAAATCCATTGAGGTGTTAAGATGAAGCACACGCCACACAAAGGAGCGACAAGGAGATCTTATCAAGCCCCCCTTTCACATTCAGAACCACAAGCCAATTGGTTTGGAATTTACAAGCCCTAAACAAATGTCAGACTCTTTCATCTTAGCAGAGGAAAAAGGCACAGAAATAGATGAAGGAATATTTTTTTTCCTCAGTTCTCTTTAAATTTGGACTGACTTAGGTCAGACTGTGTTTATTTTTGTCTGAAAGCTAGAGGTAGGCATAGCTGAAATATGCAGAATTAAGGATATGTTCCCAAATCCTAGGCCAATTTGACTTCCAACATACAAGATTTTCCTGCCTAAATTTGCAGGACTAAAACAATCATCAAACCAAGTTTACTTTTTTCAAGGTACAAATTGTTGGCTTTGAAATCTTTGCCCTAAGTGATAGTTCTAATGCTGACAGTAGGACAGATATTCAGGTTCCTTGTAAACCGAAGGCTTAGAGGGAATCTTTGAAAACAGGTTAAAATTCAACAAGGTTATTCTGGCTTCACTATAATCAGCAAATATAACCATGATCTGAGGGGGTGGAGGAAAGGAGTAGTTTTCCCCATTGCTCTTGGTCATAAAATTCACAGAGCATTTCTTCTGAAGACAATAAAGCTGGGAGAAGGCCTCTTTATTTGCTGTGAAAATCATCACCCTTTCCGGCAATATAACTCCTGAAGAAAGGAGGGAGAAGGAAGAGACAAGGCTGCATATCAAAGCAAAGTGAAGTGTTAAAAGGGTCTGCTGCCTCAATATGACAGATAGGCCTCAAAACCTCAGACAATGTAGGCCACTGCAAAATAGATGCCACAACCAGTTTACAAAGCAAAATAAATTAGCATTAGAGCAGGGGCCTGGCTTTTTTCCTGCTTTTCTATTTTGCTTTCTGTCTGTGTTTCTGCTGTGATGTAATCTGAATTACTTGGACATCACTGCTTGTTTAAATAAAGACATCAAATGTGTTGGATATAGTAAAAAAAAAAAATCTAAGGCTGAGCACACAACATATGAAAATAATGTCCTTTGGTTTAGTCCCCTTAAAGTCCCTTCTCTTTCTGAGAATGGCCACTCCCAAATGAAGTTTCATATGGAGCTTTGGAACCTGTTTTCTAGGCCCTTTCAACACCTTCTCAGTAGGTCTCATGCTTTGAAGGCTCACTTGCTCTCAGAAATACATATTTTACATTGTTGATCACATAGGGTTTAGAAATTAATTTGAAGCTCTGCTCTTGCACAGCTGAAGTTGATGAGGCATTTTATCATAGATTTTTAGTGAAAACAGGCTCAGACTGTCAGGAATTCTTTAGATGTTCTTTTCCTCACTTTGATAGCCTGACTGGGAGGATACCTTTACCAAGCCCACTTCTGATGTTTGGGGATTTTTGAATTTCTTACTGCCTCATATATTTGGAGTGTCTGTGTGCTTGAAATAAGAAAGGGATTGGTTTTGAATGTACAGTTATGGTCTTTAAGACAGAGGATTTCAAATCCCATTTTATCTGTTGAAAGGACATAGTACTTCTGCCTTTGTTGTTTCATCCTGAAGATTAACATGATCAGACAAATTTTCATTTCACTTTTCCTGCAGTTGAATTTTTTTTTGTATATAAAGCTGAATACGAATATTGAATCAGAATGTAGTGTATTTACTAGAGCCTAAATAGAGAGGAAAAAAATTCCCATTAACATCCACTCCCCTCAGATAATTCCCCTTGTCTTTAGGGCAGAATTTCAGGAGGCTCCCTGCTCTAATCAGATGTGTTTTGATCTCTGTTATTCCTTGCTGCTCACACACATCCATGTGAGTACACACCACTGGTGAACTGAAGGGCAGACACATATTTATACATATAAATACATTTGTAGGGTTCAGGGCTGTAATTCTGGAATTTGAGAGCAATGAACTGTATCAAGCAGCAATAACACTGAAGGAGAGGAGCCAGTAGCTACTTTATAACATAACTGATATTATGGCAATAAGGAAAACCAGAGAGCAAGGGTGTTTCAAAGAGGGGTTATAATGGCATCAAGTCAGTTTTTTCTAGAGAACATTTATAAGGTAATTCAGAGCACTTACATGTATAATTTTAGTCTTGTGGTTTGTTTGAATTTCCTTCCATTTATCACCATTTTTTCTGTGTCAATATTAAAATTTTCCTTTTTTTTTTTTTTTTCCCAATCACCAATGGAAAGTCAAATCTGTTTCGTACTTTTCTTGTTTTGTACAGTTACCACATTTGTGCTTTACTCTGACAGTCCCGGGGCTGATGCCTGGAGCTCACTTCTGTGAAGTCCTGAGCTGTTTTTAACACTTCAAAGGCAGGGAATGCACAGCCTCGGGACATGCATCTATTGATGGGCCCTGTTTCACCTGTCCCCAACGGTTCATAAAGTATTGCAGCCTGTGTGTGAATTCTGTGTAAGTGCTTTGCAGACTAGAGATGAATTTAGGCCCAAAACTGTGTCTCTGAATCACAAATATATTTTATAAAGTTGAACAAGCATGCGAGAAACCTTTCAGGGTCTTCCAAGTCTGTGCAATAAGTGTAAAGCAAAGATTTAGATTTTGAAGTCTGTGTTACCGTTTAAGAATGACAGCACATTTAAAATTCAGTGGCAGCATGACACAAACAGGGCTCCCTCATTGACATTCAGTTGAATTTGGTCTCCACTCAAGTCTTGCATCACTTCTACACCTGGAAATCTCCAGTGATGTTAATGAAGCTGCTGTGATTTACATGAGGGGGGAAAGGGACTATAAACCCGCCTGGCTTTGAGGGCCTTGGTAGAGGCTCCAAGTGGAAGGATGGCCTTGTGAAATCCCAATGATCACTGGGCATTTGATATTTAGTAACAGTGGCAAAACAGTGCCAGTCTGCTTTATAATTAAGAAACAATTACCAAGACTAATTTTGCTCCTGAGTAATAACCATTTGAAGGAGGTTTTGTCTGAAGCAGCAGTGCCGATTTTCTGTGTCTTCTAAGATTGCTCCAATTGTAATTGCTCTGCTTTCTTTGGATCATTTTCTTTGATGCTCCCTAACACACACTTACTACTTTTAACCTTAACAATAGGTTTAGCAAGCCTTGCTACACCCAGTTTACACCTCGGGAATATACATGGAAGGGTTCATCTGGAGGCAGCTTGTGACAAGAACAGGCACATCAATGAGTGGCACTTGCAGGAAAATGAGTTTTAATTGTGTAACTGTGGCAAGCTGCAAAGTTCTGGTATGTAATAAAAATATGTAAAACTGATGTGAAACTAAATGAAGAGGAGGCTTAAGTGAGGAGTTATGTGATCTGCAAACAAAATAGTCTATGCTGATCATTTGAGTCAGATTGCCTCTCTAGGAATATTTCTTTTCACTAATATTTCTGGGTAGAAAAAGAAAAGGCACAAGACAACCAGCAGAAAGTTGTGTAATTGCTACGGTTGGATCAGAGCACATAATTTTCTTTCAAATTATTGAAATTATTTAAAAAGGTCAACCTGATTTTATATTGCTATTTACCTTGCAGCACAAAGTAATTCGGAAGTATTTTTTGCCTGTAGCTGTTAAATGTTGCTGCTTTCATTGCTCCCTAACACTTTCAAGATTACCATGTTTTTCACACCAAGTGCTTTACAGAATATTCCAACAGGAGCTGTGGAACCGCATCCATGTCTGGCGCATCACGTCTGACCACACCAGCCATTCAGCTACGGTAACCACAGAAAGCCTTCATGGGGAGAATGCGAAACTAGCACAAATTTAGTCAAAACTGCCCTAAACAGCAGCAGGTGAAATAAATGCCGTACATGACCCACCAAGCCCTGTGCTTCAAGTAAAGTTAATTATTTGTAAGAGCAGCGAGAGCTGAGGTTGAGGTTGGACTCGCACTTACCAGTGGTGTTGGCTTGCACGGTTTTCCTCATCCACTCGTAGCTGTGCCTGTGGCTGCTGGGGGAGCAGTGCTGGGCACTGCCGGGCTCTGCGGGAGGAGCCCCCCCGGCCCCGGGCTGCAGGGAGCTGTACTCGGCGGGGCTGTAGGAGCCCGGGGCGGGGGACGGGGCGCTGAGCTGGGCAGTGCCCGCGCCGGAGGGGCCCGGCCCGTACGCGTTCCAGTCCTCCCTCTGCGGGCCATAGTGGGAGCCCCAGGGCCCCGGCGGCTGCCCGTGGGTGTCCAGGGCTGGCACGGGGTGGTATCCCATGTACTCGGGGTAGGGGGGCGCGGACACGAAGCCCTGCCCTGGCAGAGTGTTGGCAGCCCGGGCAGAGCCTGGGTACATGCTGCCGTCCTTGTCCAGGAGCGGGCTCACGTACATGGCTGGCACACACCTGGTCACAACATCCTGCTCTGCCGTGTTGTCTTCTGCTGCTCCAAAATATTTGTTTGGGTTTCTCTAATAATGCCACTCTTCTTGGAATCTTCTACTTCATCCTCTTTTATTATCCACTGTGTTACCAGGTGCTGGTGGTAATGGTTTACCAAGACCTTGCCTGACGTCAGCTCAACTGCTGCCTCATAATTACATTTACATTCAAATGAAGGGCTGCCCGACCCCACCTTTCTGCTGGTTCTGGTGCTTTCTCTTTTAGAGAACTTTTATCTATCCTATTATCCTTCCCTGATATTCAACAGCCATCCCAGTCCTGCAAGATGATGCAACAGTTGCTTGTACTTGTAACTGAAATAGTTAAGTAAATAGACATTTCTCAAAAGAAACTATAGTGGTAACTATCATAGCAATGTTTAACATTCAAATGATTCTTGTTGGAAACCTTTATTTTATGATCTACTATCAATCAACAAGTAAATATGTTACTCTTTTAATTTGTCAGATACTAAAAAAAAAAATCTCATTTTTACTTTTTAAGCAGTACAGTTAATTTGAATAATTGTAAGTCAATAACTTCAAAATGCAGAGCACCTCATAAACAGCATGTCTTGAATATAACTGTCTCAACAGTTTTTCTGTCATTGTTGACTTTTGTAAGTGGTTTTCCAGCCTGGGAGACTTTAAAGCTCTGACTGTAGGGCACATGTTCTCACTGTCCCCACACAGAGTGATTTAAAGAGATCCCTTCATCTGGTGGCCATTGCAAACTGATAAATTTGAAAAAGCAGACAATAAATCTTCCTAACAAAGATGGTGCCAGAAGTACAAAGAAAATGACTGTAAAGAGTAGTGAAAAAAGTCTTTGATTAGGCCCAGTAATATTGTTGGCTTCTGTTTCAAGACAAGCTTTATCTGCCTGAAAGGAGGCTGGTTCCTTCCTCTGGAGCTGCTGCCTGTGGTCTGCTCTCAGTGGTGGCAGCTTGGCCAGGGGAAAGCAGCAGGGAGAGACATCTGGGTTGTTAATTTGTGGATCAGAACTGCCTCGATGCCCCTCCGGGAAGCCCCTGGCACACGATGCTCCGTGGGGCAGGAAAAAAAGATTCCCATGGTGTTTTACATCTCATTATTAAGAGCTTGGTTTAACTTGGGAGAACTAAAGCACACCTTAGGACTCGAGACTCGCCTCTCTGGGTTGTGGACCTGCGATTTGTGGAGTGAATTGGCTGTATTTTTATTTTGGCTGGTTTTTTTTTTTTGCAATGAGCTATTTGTAAGGGCTATGCTTGCAAAAGAGGTGCAAATTACAATGAGTTGTTTCCCTTTACAAAGGTGTGGGTTTTCATTCAGTATCCTTTGTATTTTGACACTACTTGTATTCACACAGCCCTTCTAATTCCAGCACTAAAGGATTCTAAGCATGTACTTAAAGACAGGAAAGATACTCCTTTTCTGTTTGGGGTTGGGGGGTTTTTTTGAGGGAATAATTTTTACTGAGAAGTGGAGCAAAATATTTTTAATGAATTTTGCTATATTTACAAAATCCTGCATTAATGATTGGGATCCTGAGAATGCTGAGGAAATCATGGGATAGACCTTCTGTAATTAGTGTACTATTATAAAAATAACACTAAAAATAAATCGAAAGAGACTCTTGATCCCTTCATCTTGAAAGAAAAGGACTTGTAACACGATTTTTGAGAGCCCACAGAACTTTTAGTAGTGATGTGCACTAAAAAGAACAAAGAACTCCACTGAGCATCATCCAAATTGAACAAGATGTGTTTCCTGTACTGGGATTGTCCTTGGACTCTTTGGCTGTTTGTGAGCCTTGTGAGCAGTTAAATTCCATGTCTGGCTGAATGTGACACAGAGCCTTCAGTCGCAGGCAGATCCACAGAAAGGAAGTTTCATCTCCATCGACTGCATCTGAAATCCATTTGATTTCAAACATGGACATGGTTGCTCAAGGGTTTCAGATCAGACCCAGTGTTTGACTTCTCCTAAGCCCCCCATTTTCACAGTTCAGTGAGTGACATGGCGTTTCATAGACTGCACTACATGTTGGTAACATTTTTAATCCTCTTCCTTTATGGGATTCCTCTGCACGTACCCCCCACCATTTCAGTATCACTTAATCCTATTTTTTGTATCTCAGAGCTTTATCCCTTATACTCTGTTCTTCTTTTATCTTTTGTTTATACTCCTCCTTTCCCTTTCTGCCTGTTCCATTATCTGAATTTTCTTCAGATCTATTTCGATTCTTTCCAGAACGTAATTAGATCAAGATACTCGGATGGCAATTTGCTGCACTGATTTGATATCAGCTCACAATAGTAAGCTTTGAATAAAGCATTTTGTTTAAAGAGATTTGCATAGCAGGATAAGATTGCTGGGTAGGACTGCAGATTGTTAACACCAAAGTGAGAATAAGACAACTGAAATGGCAATGTTCAAATGATCTTCTGCACTCTGACTCTTTTGTCTCCTATGTTGTATGACGGAACACTGTGGGGATATTAAAGGAAAATTTGCCAGCAGTTCTGAGGTGGTGGCTGGACCCCCAGAAATGTCACCCTTAGGGAGGTGTATTTGTACCTTTTCTGGGGTGAGTGATAACGGCAGAACGGGGCAAATCTGTGTGGTGCTGCAGCAGCAGTGCTGTGCTCTTTGGCATTCTCCAGAGAGAGGGATTGCCAGAAAAACTGAACTCCAAGGCTGTTTTTCTTCTCCACCTTCTCAAATACCAGGTATAATTTATCTCCTAAGCCAGAGTCCATGGGAGCTGCCTCAGTGGTCGTTGGAGGGAAGATTTATGTGTGTTAAATCAGATGTACTTGGAGCTCTTTGGGGAAAAGACTTTCTAGTTTTCTAACAAGAGGTTTCTCAATAATAACACTCATGGGGATAACCATATATAGGTTATAGGGGCATATATAGGAGCTATACAGGGTTTGTTTGGACAGGCAAGGGAGACAGTGCTCTATGGTATATAAGCTATTCTAGAGAGTAGTTCCAACCTGGGTAATAACAACATAATCACCAACGTGCAATTAAGTGTTTTAATGACAGCCATTATAACTGCAATTTCAGCACTCCTGGGAGACTAAAACCTGCCTGTACAACAATAACTTACATGAAAGGTGTTTATAACTGTGATAGTCTTTATTAGGAGCCCTTACTCATAAAGTCACTCTTCATTTTATGGAGATAAGAAGAAACTAATCTGTCTGTCTTTGAAGCTTGAAAATTATGTGAAGTCTCTCTAATTTCTTAGAATAAAAGAGCAGGTGAGCTTAGTGTGCCCCATTCTGGCTCAGGTGATAGGAACAGATGTTTGTTTTCTTGCCTCCAGATGACCACTCAAATAACACTTCAGGAACACCAGGCTTAGGAATGCTTCTCGCCCATCCCTTTGTAACTGCATGCTTGGAATTTTGAGGGAATGGTTAGTGAACTCTGTGTTGCTGAGAGTTCAGTGCAGTGTTTTGGATGCATTATTGACCCTGTATTCAGGCTGGGCTTTGCATGCACTCTCATTCCTCCTAAAATTACTATTCAACTGTGTGAATCTTGAGGAAAGGTCAGTCACTGTGTGGTTTGCTGTCAGCGGAGGGCAGTTCTGTTGGGAAAATATGTGGCAAATGATGAAGGAAGGCAGATGGTTTTAAAACTTAGAACAGTTAAAGAGACTGCTTTTGCTTTTACTGAAGGTTCTACAAACATAAAGCTTCTGAATTTTTTTATTTGCCTTTTTAATTGGGCTGGTTTAATATCCAATACCATAGTTTAGGTCTCATTTTCAGGGTTTGAAAGGCAAGCATGTGCCAAACCACATCTGGCAGATGTGGCACAGCCCAGAGAGCTGAGTGAGCAAAGCTGAGCTATTTTCACTTGCTGAACTGACCTCCTCTGGGGAAAAGTGAAAAGGGACATATCACTAATTTCAGTTCTGCCCTGCGTGTGTCTCTGATCCCTCAAGTGTATTTGTTTTTCATAAGATAGAAACAGAAGAAATAAAGATGCCAGATGTCTGTGAAACTTTCCTCAGTGATTTAAATTTTAATTTCATGCTCTGAAATTTTGGCTTTTAGCAAATCCTCTTGAAAAATGATGGAGAGTGACTGGTTGAAAGCTGAGTGTATTTGCCCTTCTATGTACCTCACTATTGATTTTCTAACTGCTGCTAACAATGACTTATCTTTAATTTCTAAAGTGTTAAAATGTGTTTTATTAAAAGTAGTGTCAATGCACTTCATGTATGATCTGCATCAGTGTTGCATTTGCCAGGGAGGAATGGGCTGAAGCCAGAATAGGTTCTGACAGAAATCAGAGTATGTCTTACAGCTCCACAGCTGTGGCAGGAGTTCCACGTGAACCCCAGGGGACATCTGGGTGCTCCCTGTGAGCCTCCAGGAGCCCTTTGGGGGGGTTTCTTGCCTGAGGTTCCACAGATGTCGGTGCCTCCCCTGTGCCCTGCCTGCCATACTCTGGTTTATGGCCCTGCCAGACTGGCACTTCTGTCCCACAGATTGAACTCTTCTCACTCCCAGACGAGAGATTGTTGGCTATGGAAGGTCTGTCCTGCCTTACAGTGCCTGTGTCTATTGTGGCTTAGGAACCAAGAGCATCCAGGGTGTATCCTAATTAACCCTCTCCATTTACTGGGATACATCTCAGGTTTTTTAGAAAATGGAAAAGAATTGTGCTCTTTGAGTATGAAAACAGCTGGCAAACATTAATCATAAACCCCGTGCCTATTCCTTCACATAGTGAGTTCTGCACAATAATGTGTCCAGGCAGTAACATCCAGTGCCACCTGCAACGGGCCTGTGTGAATCATTGGCAGGAATGTGTCATCCCAGCACACGTGCTGGCTGGAGAGGCTTGGCTGGGAGTAAGCCCTGGAGGGCACCAGCAAACCCAGTAAGGGTGCTAAAGTTGGAGTCTGCTTTTTAATTTCCATGGTAACATCCCGAATTAATGTATTTTGGAATCTGCTTCTTGGGTAGCAGGTGGCACAGCTCTCTCCTCTGTCCCTCAATGACTGCATAACCCCTAAGCAATCACTGAAGGGTTTGGGGTTAGAAATAGCATTTTGAATTGTGTATCCTGCTTCCTTGCATGAAGGTTTTGTAGAAGGTGCTGTTTGCTCTGCTGCTCGTGATGTTTTTATACCATATGGATCCCAATTCTTGCTGGGAAATGGGGTGTAAAAGTCAGCAAATTCCTCGGAAAATTGGATATTCCTTGATCGTTCTTTTAATCACAATTAGAATTAAGGGCTTAGATATTCCTGTGATGTAGTCTAAGGTATGCTTTTCTTCTTCAAGGCACTTTGCTAACAACCAATCCATCTGCTTTGGTGTCCCTAGTTTTTAGATGTGATACAAGTGTTAAGTTTTATGATACACCCAAAGTATTGTCCTGAGGATTGGTCCCAGTATTCTATGACTTACAGTGCTGCACCAAAATCATTTCAGTTAATTTGTCTCCAGTTTTATGTCTCTCTTGTTTTTAATTATGCACAATACATCATCTAAGCAACAGCACTGCACAAGCTTCAGAGAGAAAAATGGATTTCTTTGGGTTTTGGTGGGCTGCTGTTTAAAGGATTAAAGCACATTGGAAATACTTAGTTAGATGGATTGCTGGTAAGTTTTACACAAAAAAATTCAACTATTTAAAACAACCACTGGCATAACTAGAAGGTTAATAATCTCTAAGGTATTGCCCTGGTTTATAGATACTGCTTTTGGAGCAATAAATTGTAACCTTTGAACATGTGCTTCTGCAAATAAAATCCAGCCTTATTTTGTGTACTTAACAACTTCTGATTGGGAACACATAGCAACCTATAGCAAGCATGCTTTCAGCAAACTGGAGCAGAAATGAGGCAGATCTTCAAAGTGCTCACTTATCTTCCTCAATAACTCTTCTACATGTAAACAAGATAAACTAGGTTGTTTTGCCAGATCCCCCTCTCTTTGAATGATGTTCAAATAATTTTAAAGAGAAAGAAGTTGTGTTCAGACATATTTCTTAAAATTTTTCCTTGAAGTACTCTTTTTTCTTTTTCCTTTTAGAAATATTATTGTAAAATTAAGCTGTGTCGTGGAAATGTGATTAAAATAGAGAGCTCTGCACTTAATTCTGCAGAACTCTGGGGCCAGGCTGCTTTTAGAAGTTCTGCTAGAACTAGGGCCTAAATTATTGTGTATCAGTACAAAAGACCAAGTTTCCCTCTGCATTCTTACCTTTTGAAAGTCTAAATCTGGAAATCTCAGTTGTTTTTTCTCTAGTCAGTCAGCACAATTCTGGTTAATTGGCCAGTGTGAGGTTGGTTCTCTTGTGGAACCTTTTGCAGTCTGTTAAGTTAAATCTGTGTGTGCATGTGAAGCAAAGGTAACACCTCTGGCATTTCCCTCTGCAGACAGACTGGCTGTTCTCTGTATTTCCAGTGGATTCCTCTTTTGGGTACATCCCATGGAGACCTCTCTGGGGAGAGCAGTGGTTGGCTTTGGATACAGATGGTAAATGGCTTTTGTTCCCACGTGCTGTTTGCCATGTTCCTCTTTTCAGACCATGTGGAAACCAGTGGAGTCTTTCTGTTGCTGAACTTTGAATTGCAGTTTCCTGCTCTGCCCTGTTTCCTGTGCAAAGCTCCAGACTGCTCCCACCATTGTGACAGGAATGAGCGGGAATGTTACCATGGCCCCCATGCCTCCAGCTGAAGTTGAATCCTACTTTTATTTAGCACTGTCCTTACCAGAAAACAATAAATAAAATTAAGAACTGGTGAAAACTGCCAGCTCCCTGAACCATCTTGGTCTTACCATGCTCCTCGAATTTTTGGAAGCTTTTTTACCATCACCCTCCTTTTAAATTTGGTATTCCAAGTCAGTTACAGATTAATCATGAAAAACTTCATGTTCACTTGCTAGAGTAGCTGATACCACACTGGAAAATGGTTATGAAAAAAGTAATTTATTTTAATGTTCTTTATATACAAAGTAATTTCACATTACCAACATTTTGATGCTCTAATAGTACTATTTGTTATAATTAAGGAAAAAAGAGAACAAGAATGTAGTGCCTAAATGACTTAATGCTCCTAAGTCTTGTTTGCAACAGTGACAGAGATATTTCAGAGGACACCTTGATGGAAATTAGTGAAGAAAGGTATCCTAAATTTCTAAACTGCTTTTGACAATGAAGGTATAAATTCCCAAATTTTCCTTTTGCAGACAGAAGTTACGCACATGGAATTGGCAGGCATGTTAGGAAGTATCTGGATTATTCTTAAGTACTGATTACCTACCAAATTCTGCTCAATATGGGAAATATCAGCACTTCAGGAATTGAGACCCTTTAAAAAATGCTGAGAGCTTACATCTAAGTAAAATATTTTGTTTTTTCTGCCAATAATTTGGATTCTCAGATTTTTTTAGTGCCTCGATAGCTCATAAAACTGGAACAAATTTAAAATTGGTTGAATGCAATTATTGCATCTCTATCCATGGGCTCTGTTGTCTCATGAAATGCAGTCACTTTTCAAAATACCTACACTTTTTTTAGGGCAGCCCCCCTTTGCTCTTTCTTTTAGGATCCAAAAGGAGTCTGACATGAATTTTCTTTGACCAGAAGTGAATTTGGGCCAAGATTCACAATTCCAGAATGCTTTCAAAACACTACCAGCGAGATGGAAGAGTGTGTGTTTGTACCAGTGTGTGGAGCATTGGAAATCATACCTGTCAAAACCAAAACATTCCAAAAAGCTCATCCCTGACCTTTGCCCTTAACATGGAGTGAGTGCAACCACCAGGATCCAGGCTTTCCATCAAGTGGGTTGAAACACATGAGCCAGGTTTTCATTTGTCGAGATCCGTGTGTAAAGTCCATGCAGGGAGCTCAGCACTCGGAGCCTGTGTGGGGCTCAGAGCAGCAGGAATGTTCCCTCCCGGGGGCCGGGGCAGTCCCTGGGGCACAGCTGCCCCAGGCCCGGGGGGTTCCTGGGGCAGGTTTGTGCTGTGTCAGTCTGCACTGCACTGCACTGTCCCAAGGGGCTGTGTCTGCTCCCAGCTCTCCTGGTGCCTCCCTGGCCGGAGGACTCCTTGCCTTGTGGCACCACATCCTCTTCTAGAGGCTCCTGGCACAGTTGCACTGCCCTGGGGAAGCTGTGCTGTCCTGCAGACCCGGCTCTCGAGTTACTGTCCTTGAGGACTGTGTCGTCCCCGCGGCAGTGCTCCGGGTGCTCCTGCTGGCAGGAGCCTCACTGCGAGGCCACGACCTGCTGCAGCCCCCCGGGGTGCTGCAACCCCCCCCATGGGGAGCGGGGGGGCCGGGGGGGGCGCTGGGAACAGGGAACTGGGCATCTCGGAGTGAGTCCGTGGGTCAGGGACGGGCATGGGGCTCACAGAGCCAGAGTCACTCTGCAGGGAGCCCAGGCTGCTGCCCTCAAAGTGAGTCATTTTCTTCTTCATTAACTTTCTTTCCTTGGCTCTGCGGTTCTGGAACCAGATTTTCACCTGTAAAGGGGCAGAGGAAAGTTGTTTTCAGTTGCTGATAAAGTGCATTTACTCACAGAATCACAGGGAACATCAGTGCCATGAGCACCAGTGAGAAAGACTCACAGAGCTGTGTGCTTGTTTTTCATATTGGTAATCTTTCCTGACTGGTAATGAAATATTTAGTAATGGCTTGATAAAAAGTGTTTTTCAGTGTTAGTTTAGAGGTATTTCTTTATGGAATGACCTTTGATTCATTTGATTTTATTTTTTCAAACAAAATCTAACAGAACAGAATCTCGTGGGTCACAGTGATGGCCTAAAGGATTCAAGAGTATCATTGCATTGAAAACTATATGTCCTAGTCAGGGCAAGTCAAAATCTGTTCCTAGCCTATAAACTGAGGCACAAAAGCTTTCCTGTTTGGATGCTGCACAGGAACTGGTGATCTCCAGTGTGTGAGCCAGTGCAAATGCACTTCTGAGCAGAGTGTCACCAGTGCACTACCCTTGGGACTCCATGGTAATTCAAAGTGTTGTATAAGCAGTGCCCTAACAGCTGAATGCCTTTTATTGCATTCACAGATGGAGCCAGAATGTGCTACTGCTTTTCACCACATCCCAGGGACACAGTTATCCTTGGGAAGAAAGGAAGGACCCGTTGAAGAGTACATGGATTTTGGTTGGCGTGGAACAAGTGAGGAATGAGATGAAGTTGATGAGCCAACTCAAAATACATCAGTACTTGCTGAGGTTTGAAAGGGTGAATGTGAATCCCCAGCATTGGATTTGAAGCAGTAAAAGCCAGCTGTTTATCCTTGGAAGTGGCTCTGTATCATGTCTAGTCAGTGTAATAAGCTACCTCATTCAAGTATGTTGTGTTTTCTTGCTGGTGTTTAGATGGCAAAGGAAACACTTTTCTCATTTTTCTTTTTCTTTGGGTTTACTATAACCTAAAGAAAAATCAATGGTTTGCTGAGAAATACTGATCTGTTTAGATCTTCACTAGAATCTGGAAAGGGAAAGAGAATGATGATCAGAAAGGAGGTAAAACTGTAAGAGGTGATAACATCTGTGGCTGCCAGGTTGTGTTTTAAAACAAAACCACTGGTGAAGTCCACAAAACCTCTTAAGGAGTCTCTATGACAGCCTTGGTGCCTTGAGGCATTATTATGGTTTTACAGTTGAAGAATTCAATTACATGCAAAGCTTGTGTAAATTTGAACTAGGTCTCTTAAGTCCCAGGCTGTCATCTGAGATGTTTGGCAATTCATTTTGTTGTCTTAGTTCTGGAATATCATTTCAGTGCCAAACTGTTCCACCAAACCTGTCTCAAGTGCTCTCAGATCTCTTGCATTCTCATTGTGCCAAAATAATTCAGTTCTCCCATACATTTGCCAAAATGTATGAAAAGATGGGACAGTCTAAAAACTAAACCAGCATTTATGAATTCCCCTCTGGCTTCGATGTTCTTATCTGCCTGTGAATTTAGGGATTTGTTCTGGTTTGTTGTTAAACTAGGGAAGCAGATCTGCAGCAGATCCAGAGAGAATCTTAGTGGACACCAGAGGGTCATACCAAATAAGTACAAGTAAGTTCAGATCTGTAATGTCAGACTAAAAACCAGCATGTCCAGTTGCATCAGTCTGACTTGTTCTTCACCTGCTTCCTTTCAGTATTCTTTTTTTTCCATATATCTCTTCCTCTGAAGTCTGATTTTCTCTCTTCTTTCTTGTCCTCATCATCTCCTTTATTTCTGTATCCTTCCTATATTAACAATTTTGCCTTTTTTTTTCTTAATTGGATATTACATCTTTCCTTCCTTGTTTAAATGATTGTTGTTTGTCCTTCTGTGTTGAGTTATTCCTTCCAGTGTCCTGGATGGGATTTTGGCATAGGTAGGAAAAAAAGCTTTTCCAGAAAATCCTTTCAGGTTTTAAGTGGAGGTTGGGATGGGACAGTGTTCAGTCATGTTCATCCCATGGGGTTGTTTAATTTGTACTGAAGGGTAGTGGGGAGAATCTATCACATTTTTTTTTTTTATCTTACCAGAGATGCAGGTTTCATGCATTGAAATTAATTTTGTGACATATTGCTGATGAAGAAGAGCAAATATGGCAAAAACTATTGCCATATTTGGAAACATTTGAGGAAACACTCCAATACATGACAAAGAAACATATCACATGGTTTTGTTACACCTCTTCAAATATACCAACAAAAGGGTTTATCAGGAATTACCACTAGGAAGTTTCAAGTAAATGTGATTGGCTGTTTACAGAAGCAAGGCCATAACTCTCGAAGTCAGCATAATGAAGTCAAGTTATTAATGTTTTGACAGCCAGCAAAAAGACACACAGTGTATTTTTTATATCCAGTTGAAATAATTGCAATTTTCAATAATTAAATACTTGCATTCAACAGCAGATTGAGAAATATTTCCTTCTCCATTTCCGTGAGCTCTTCCAGGATGTGCTGGGTGAGACAGGTTCGAGTTGGATGGACAGTGCTATGGGTGGGTGCATTTTGGACTATCCCTGCTCAGCAGAGCCCATAAAACAATGGTGAGTCACAGGATTGTGCTTTAAGCTATCTTCTGGGAACAGAAGTGGGATTTGGAGGGGGTGGTAGGAAATAGGGGCAGGAGAAGGGAGTAGCAAGTATGTAGGAATTATTTAACAAAAGGTAATAGGCAGCTGAAAACACAAACACCTTCAAGTGTCCTGAGCATACCTGAGCTCATTATTCCCATTCTCCACTCAGACTGACCTGGTTATGGAATTCCCACTGGCTTCAGCAGAACCAGGACTTCTGCTTTAGAAATGTCAGCAGAAATTTCTCCCTGTTCCCACTGCCCAGAGGGAAATCCAGGCAGGATTTGTTGGTATTCCTTAGCTCCTGTTCCTCAGAGCAGGACTGTGTGTGCAGGTGCTGGTTGCATTTGCTGCAGAGGGAACCCAGTCCCCTGTTTGGTTATAGGAGGCACTGGCAGTTGTGTGTTCCTCACCAGTACTCTCCTCTGCAGCAGAGATAAATTCAAAGGTAATCCTGGGTGGGGGATCCATGGGATCCATACTCTACCTGTCTTTCAGAAAGCCTTAGGTTTGCAGCCAGTTCAGACTTCCTCCTGATTGTGATGTATCTGTTGTAATGAAACTCCTTCTCTAGCTCTAATCTCTGATGATCTGTGTAAACCACTCGGTACTTCTCTCTTGTTCTTGTTTTACCTGTTTTTAAAGAAGAACACATTGTTTCAAGCTAAAATATTTTAACTTAAGTTACACAAAATATCTGGCTTTACATTTGCAAATATTGGTGGGTGTTTTAGGCCTGATTTCTATGCACTTACCCAGCATGAATCCCTTGACTTGATCTTGATTTTCAACACAAGAGGTTCATACCATCAGATATTAGGTTTCCTCCTTAGTAAACGGATGATAAACTGCTTCTCATGCTCTTTATCACCCCTGTGTTATCATTTGGGAAAGGGAAGGTGTTCTGGCTAAGAAGAAGAAACCAGGAAAGCTGGGTTCTGTTCCCAGCTCTGATCCGAGCTTCCTGCCTGGGGGTGAACTGCCCTTGTTTTTCTGTCCTGGAGCCCAAAGACTGCTACCTGCTGCAGTGACTGGGAAGGACATTTTACTGCACAGAAAGTACTGAGAGCTTCCAAAGTCCCTCATTTGTTGTTGCTAGAAAAATTCCTACAACACTCTGATTGTTCCTGCAGTTTGGAGGCTGTGTTTTCCCTTAGGGTCTGGCACCGTCTGTCCACAACCTGATAATAGCACAGGGAACAGTAACATAGATCTTTTAGATGACAGTTAATAAAAAAGAGAAAAGGAAAGCAATAATCCTTCACAATGGGCAGAGAAGTGCAGCATCTGCTTTTTTGCAAGCAGCACTGCTGCCTCTGCTCAGCCCTGGGTGCAGCTGAGTGGAGCAGCTGGGGCCCAGCAGTGGCCAGGCCATTAAAAGGCAATGGAAATGACAGCAGGGAACACAGATGCAAGGCCCTGCAAGTTTATGGATTCAATAGAGGGGAATTTCAGAGGACAGGATGTGTGGCTGCAGTGGAAGAGAACTGAGAATGGCAGAGGCTGCTGGTGCTCCCTTTCTCACCCCCCTTTCCCCTGTGGTTAACGCTCACATCAGGCAGTCCATGGATTGGAGATCAGCACCTGCTCAAAACCAAGTCCTGAGCCCCGGCCTGAGGTCATCCACATATTTGACAGATTGGATCATGTTGTGTTGGGACCAGAGTTACCATCTCTGCTAACCACAGCCTGACCAATGTTTGGTGCTTGCTTGTCTGTCTCCATATGGGCATTCCTCTACATGGACAGATTTAGGCTGTCCATTGTCTGGGACAGGGAATGCACTTCCACTTTTGCCATGTGTGCCACTGTGGTGCTGTGGGTTGTGAATTGTGTCCCCAGTGGTCACTGTAGTAGGTCCAGGTTCTCTCAGATGATGCACAGAACTGGAGGTGTCCTGTGCCTTCTGCCTGTACCCGCCTGCTGTTGCTGCAGACCTGGGGTAGCTTCATACAGCAGCTCCTGTTTGCTTACAGAACTTCTTCTGAAGAGATTATGTGGATACCTAACTCCTCAAAAAGAGATTCTACAAACTCCTATTAATTGCTCTAAGAGAAGTTAATTTTGAATGGAGTGAAATAAATTCTGAGGCACTGAGTAGGTAAAGTGTCAGTCTCTGAGTAGATCCCAAAGGCACATGGCCCAGAGCACCCAGCTTCCCTGCCAGGAGAGAGGAGCTGGAGGGTCATCTATCAGTGGTGCTAAAGGCCTCCTTCTTCCCTAGTCCCTCCTTCCCATCCCCCTTGCATTTGAAGTTTAAGTGGCACCCAAAGTTCAGAATTCAGGGTACAAAACTACAGCAGAGTCTTGGAGTGCTTTATCCCCTAATTCCTGATTTGGGTTAAAATTTTTCCCCATCTGCGGAGGGAGATGTGATGTCTCATCGTTTTTAAGGGCTGAACATGTTTAAAATCAGCATTGCCTTCCACGTATTATGCTCTCTGTGTGGTCATGGTTGAGAGCCACATCACTTTCTATCTCTTATAGTGTTTGACAGTCAGTACTTTCCTACTTGTAGGGATTTTTGGCTCCCCAGCCTACTGCGTGTGTTGGAAGGGTCTTCATGCTCTGCTACTCTTTGTACTGTTTGGAGAGATCCCAGATGCAGAGTTGTTGAGCACAGGAAGCCCTGGGCAGTGCCATGCTGTAAACAAACACTGTTCCACCTCAGTTGGAGATGGTTCTGGTTCCCCTAAGGACAGGGTTTCTCCAGGACTCTCCCCAGGCTTGTAGAACATCCGATTTCAGCTCCCATGCTCTGCCCTGGGAGAGCAGCATTCATTAATAGTGCCTTTCCAACGCTCTGGGCACTGCCCAACTCTGCTGAGGGCCATCAGCCTCAGTACTTGGAATATTTCAGTGGGGGAAAGAGGGTGTTTGTTCCTAACGCTGGGGGCTCTGCTAAATCCATGCAGCCAAACCACTTGGAGTCAATCTGTTGCCTCCCCTGGGAAGATTCTGTTGGGCTGGGGATGACACACGGGACATTCTCATTTCAGCAGCATTTCTGTCAGTGCAAAGCAGCAGTGAAAGCAGGATTAGCCCAATTCCCTTTACACCGATAATCAACTGAAAAGTGCTGTTAATTTTACAACACTAGGGTAAGAATTTTAGAGTCTCTAAGGAGCAGCAGTTACTCAGTTCAGTCCACATAAATCCCAGGACATTTGTTTTCGTTCACTCCAAGTGTAAATTGTTTGTTTAACATATGGTCACCTGTGGTGCTTTAATGCCTCACTTAATATTTTTAAACTTTTGATCTCTCTAGCTGCTGGTTTGGTTCGGAGATTTTTTTTCCCTCTCCAAATGAGAATTTGGGGTCATTCTATGGGACAAAATGTTCAACATGTTTCCTTAGTGTCCTTTGTGTCGTTAACACGGAGTACACAAAAGAGCAACAAGGTGATCTTATCTTGACCTCTATTCTCATTCAGAAGCCACAGACAAATATCAAATGTTCTTCTATTGCCAAAACAAGGTGGTAAACGTCAAGATAAACCTTCCTGTTTCTGGTTTTAAGTGCTTAAGCCCTTATTATCTGACTAGAAGGGGGTTGTGAGGTTGTTTTATTTGTTTTTAAACTGGAGAAGAAATTAAATGTACAAGGAAAACAGAACTTTTTCCTGTAAAATCTTTTATTTTTGTATTAGTAGCTCCCAGAGGTTTTTTTTTTAGTAGAAATTATAATATCTGGTTTCTTTTTGAAGGAAGTTTGGGAGCTTTGACATCTAATTTCTTTCTTTAAAGTAAGTTAGGAAAATAAAAAGTAGAAAAGCAAAAAGGAAGGAAATTCTGAGAAATGCTCTGAGAAAAATGCTCTGATTTGTCACATAAATCTTATCTTTATTAATTTGATTTTGTTTGTTTGTTTATTTGTTTGTTTTTTGTTCAGAGTAATACCCTCTGTGAGAGACAACAGGCAGTGGGAGCTGAGATCTGCCAGGGTCTCCTGAGAAGACACTTTCAGTTCTGGCAGAGCCCTGTTTTAGTCTGTTGGGCCTTTACTCCCACTGAGGGTAGAGAGAGTCTCCCTGATGCCTTTGTTGGATGCTGGTCTGGAATTAGTCTGCACATGGCCTTTCCTTTTGAAGGCAAAGTACACTTTTATTTGCCAAAGTTAACAAACAGCAGCATCAGAACCTATCTCTGAACAGTTTGAGACTTTAGCCTCTCCATTCCGTCTGTTGGATGGCATGGATCCACTCCACTGCCTTCTGAGCCAAAGCCTGCAGCCTTTCTACTGGGTTTATTTAGTGATGCCTTTTATTTCAAGGAGAAGTATGAACTGAGTAAAAGTTGAGGGAGAACTGATGGATTCACCCCAGAGACAGTAGAAGGATGTTCTTCACTTCTCATACTTCTTTAAGAGGTAATGGCAGAGTTTAATGATGCAATGATAAAAGTTACTATATTGATCCCATTCTTTAGTCAAATCCTGCATATTTTACTCGCTTGGGTGGGTGAAGCTGCAAACATTTAGATTTGTAGGACCTTAATGAATATTTTGTTGGTGCCAGGTTAAAATCATAATCAGCAACATGGTGTCAGTTCCATTGGAAACACGTTCGTGGACAATTATCCTGGGGAATTGCAAGTTGGTTGCAGAGGTTAATAGTGGTTGGGTGGAAGAGAAATGAAACAAAAGAGCTTTGAAGCAACTACCTTTGCAATCTGCCTGCCTTTGTCCTGGGGAAGTGGATTTCCTGGCTTTAATGAGCTGGTTAATGAGAGTGAGTTTTGTCCAAAACCTCTGACTACTGAGAAGTGCCTTTGGACCAGCAAAAAATAGAACATTTCAGACTCAGAAAGCTTTTAGTAAGATACAGTTTAACAATCCTGTTCTATCACACCCACCATGGCAATTTTTGTGACTGGCCAAGTTTTGGGTTGGGGGAAGGGAACAGCTTTCCCATTGGTCATAAAATTCACAGAGCATTTCTTCTGAAGACAATAAAGCTGGGAGAAGGCCTCTTTATTTGCTGTGAAAATCATCACCCTTTCCGGCAATATAACTCCTGAAGAAAGGAGGGAGAAGGAAGAGACAAGGCTGCATATCAAAGCAAAGTGAAGTGTTAAAAGGGTCTGCTGCCTCAATATGACAGATAGGCCTCAAAACCTCAGACAATGTAGGCCAGGAAAGGAAAAAAAAACCGCCATCGGACCTCACAACTAGTTTACAAAGCAAAATAAATTAGCATTAGAACCAGCCCTGGCTCCTCTTTCAGAGCCTCCTCTCTTAACTTTTCAGGAATATTCTTCATCTACTGAAACCAGCATTGTTCATAAAGTCCAGGAGCTGCCTGAGGATGTCACAGTACAGAATAGTGTGGGATTGCTGTGGGATTACAGCTCAGCTTCCAGGGTTTTGTTTCAGGGGAAGGAATGTCTGTACTTGGTGGCTGGAGTTACCTTAAATCAGCTGGAAACGGGGAACAGCTTTCTGGCCTGAGGATGGGCTCAGGTCAAACCTGCACCTCTCTGTTAGCTTAGTGTTAAGAAACTAATGTTAATTTTTGAGCTTATAAAGATATGGACTGTCAGAGATCAGGCCCCAGAGATTTGTTTAGGACTATCTCTAACTCTTTATGTACTTCAAAAGTGTAGGAAAAGTAAAGGGCAGATTCTCCCCAGTGTAATTTCACTGCCTCAGTTGAAGTTGTGAAGCAAAAATAATTTAAAGTAAGTTTTGAAGACAGATATTGTGCTGCACGCGATGTTTTTAAAGTTAAATTAATAAACCCCCCAAAACCACATTGCCATTGTATTAGAAAATGTTCCATGGACCCGGTCCTGCGTAATGTGAGTATAATATTCCTGCCAGAAATCTTGGAGTGCTGAGTAGGTGTCCTGGTCCCAGGCATTACTGCAAAGTTAACTGCAGAAAGAAACACGGTGAAATTCTGTGTTTGCATTTTCTGCTGTGTCTTATTCCTTGTTCTTGTCATACATGTTCAGGTTATTCATGCTGAAAAGAACAGAGCAGGATCATAGGATTGGAACTTTTCAACAGACTTGGAGTTCCCCTTCTGTTTTCAATTTTGAACATGTTCTGCTATTCTGAAATAAAGCTCATTGGCCAAATTCTGTCCTTGCCCTTGCTAGTGTGAACTTTTCTAATACTCTTCACCCTACAGAAGTGAGTCCAAAGCAGAGCTGTTTTTATCCCCTTTAAGCAGTGACGGGACAGGCTGCCCTGTGTGGATCCTGTTTGCAGAGGAACACAACCTCCAGAAAATGGAGGTGCATTTCTGAGGGGCAAATCAGGGGAAATCCACTGCCAGTGACTCTACAGACTAAAAGGCAAGTGAGTAACTGAATTTTCTTTCCAAGTGTTCTGTGTTCTTTAGGACTTCAGCATTTTCACAGGATCACACAATCTGCTGAGTTGGAAGGGACCCAAAAGGATCATGGAGTTCATTTTGCAGGAATGGCTTCTAAAGAGGTTTGTTCTCTTTCCTTAGATTTGAGGGGATATAACTTCTTCTTTCAGAGACTAAATGCACATTTACAGTGCATTTGGTCCTGATGCTCTCAGCACCCTCAGCAGCAGCAGAAGAATTGCCCTTATGTCTTCAGAGTAAACTTTTATTGAAGAAGAATGATAGGAGGAGAGCTATCATCTACAGGAGAAGGCTCTGCTCATAATTATTCACCTGCTTCAAAACTTGTCCCCTCCCTGTTTTGTTGTAACATTAGTGTAGATCTTAAGATGTACTTTCAGCTTCAGAGCAAACTCTCCTTGGCTGGCACTGCCTGGGAGTTCCCTGCTCACACGCGGTGTTTTGGGCACACTTTGACCGCAGGTGTGTGTTGTGATCTCACACAGCCAGAAAGCCAACTCTGCTCCTGTAGGAGCCACGACACACCTCCATAAAAATATTGGAATCAACAGGAGGAGATTTGTAACTTGTTCTGAGGTGGTTTTATTCTACCTTCTGCCAAAGAATTTGCTGTAATTATGTCACATGTGTGTGTGTGGAATTGCCACCTCAGATTTGTAGCTGTGCCCTTGTTCTGTTCTCGGTTACAGTTGCTCCTTGGTTGTGCTGCCCTCTCCGAATAGGAGTTGAGGACAGTGAGCAGGAGCAGTGTAAGGCTTAGAGAAGGGTCTTTTCTATCAGTGTTCTTGGTCGAAAATACTCATTAGTCAGTGTTTATTAGTCAGTGTTTCCTTCTTCAGGAGTCCTGAGTACACGTTTGCTCTCTCCTGTGTCCTGGACACCCTCCCAGTGCAGTGATACGACGTTGAACTCTGCGTGCACTGAATTTAGAAGCAAGTCCCAGTCCTTCCAACTCCAAAGCTGCAGGGACAGGTACTCAGACATCCTTCAGCCAGAGAGAGAATGATGCATGAAAGCCTCAGTAGATCTTTTCTGCAGGAAATGCATTTCAGTAACACTAAACAGGGTGATGGTCTCACATTAAATACTGAGATCTTCCAGAGGTTTCATGTAGCAAACCCTCATAAGCTTCACTTAACAACAGCTGAAGACATGGTATCTTCAATTTACATTGGATGTTGTTTTTAAAGTTACTGAGTAAGACTTGAAATCATTTCTCCCTTTGTTGCAGGTTAGCTGTGCAGATACCAGGGTATCAAAGGGCCTGTAGGACATGAGGCATTGGTGGAAATTGGAATGAAGTGTTTTGTTTGTCATCTCTATGGACACGAGGCCACAAAGCACCAGGAAGAGAAGCTGACCATGGAATCTCTGGAGCTGGAAATGCCACAGACTCAGTGCCTTGTTTCTGTAGCTGCCACGAGTTACACTGCTCAAAGTAAGTTACCTTTGGAATGAATCTCTCCCAGTCTTAAAGGGATAAGATTACAGGAACACTTCTTGCCCACTTCCAAGAATATCTTGCAAAAATCACTTGCCTTAATAGTTATTGTTTCCACAATGCAATAATATTGATAACTAGTGTAATGAATAAATAATAAAATTAACCTGTCTAGATAATTTTTGTTCTGATCACCTCAGGTAAGTCTGAGCCTGTTTTCTCATCTTTAAGAACAGTGGTTCCTATCTATTGCACAGGGAATAAGGAAAGCCAATAAATAAGAGCTGTGATTCCTTGACTCCTGCCTACACTGGCTCTACTGAAATTCCTGAAGTTTTGCAGAGAGACAGAAGGATAATGCTCAGTGGACACATACAGCTTTAAGGATGGGAAAAGCAATGGATTCCATCCAAGAAGACCCAGCAAGCAACACTGGTCCTTGCAGTTGGCCTGGTCACACACCTGAGGTCACCTGCAACACCTGCGTGCACAGAACCAAACTCAGAGTGTGACATTCTACAGCTGACATTGCTGGAAGGGAAAGTATTTAAAAATTATTTTAGTTTTTGGAAAACTGAAGAACAATGGTGCCCTTGCTTTTAAACAGAGGAAAAGGAGTGAAAGCACAAAAAGGAACCAATTCCAGTAATTTATTGGCACCGAGCCTTCTTGGCCTAGCAGAGAAAAATATATATAAGAGGGAAAGAAACAGCAATTAGAATTCCCAGTCTGGAGTTCTTCCTAAAGCAGGACCTAATAGTTATTAAATGAATGGCCAGGCCCCCACCAGCTTCAGAGGGCCTTACATGGCCCATGGGCATTTGGGATGCTGATTCCTCCTGTCATAAAGACACTCATGTCAGACTGTTCCAGGAGGGAGACACTCCCAGCTCTTCCTGGGAATGCTCTGACCCTTGCAGACTTGAAATTTGAAAAGTTAGAAAGTTCTAAATGTGCTACTCAGGCAGGCAGTTGGAAGGGGCTACTGTCTGTAACACATACACATAAAATATCAATCTATCTCACTAAGTCCCCACTATCAAAGGGACACACAGAGAGAGCAAATCAGGTCTTGCTCTCAAAGGCTGCAGCTGAAATCCACAAGAGCATAGGGCAGGTAGGGAAAGAAGAGATGAGCAGTGGATTATTGAAGCAAGTTTCTGCTGTCTGTAAATCAGACAGTTAGTGAGCAATTTCATTGCCCTTGGAAGGACTACTCAAAAGCAGGCTGTAAGTTTTTACAAAACAGGCCCTCTTTTGTTTTGTCTTGTATTCAGTGAAGAAAAAATATGATTTAAAATCACTCGCTTTTTTTTTTTCCCCCAAAAAAATTCTTATTCTCCTTAGGTAACAACCTATTCTGATTGGCCTACTGACTTCTGTGGACTCTCTGTGAACTGAAGTTGTGTTCAGCAGGAGTGAGGATGGATCTGTTCATACATATAAATTAGAGGCATTATTTTAATATAGACTATTTTTCTAGACACTTGCATTCTTTCCTCTAACTTCTGGTTTCAGTAATGGCTTTTCCACCAGAGACTGATTCAGTACTTGCTTTGCAGACTATTATTTGCAGGCATGTGTGGAGCAGAGCTGGGGCTGGAGGGAGGGCTGAAAGGGAAGGGACCTTCCAGGGATGGAACATTGGAATACTGGGAGCATCTCCGGAGGGGAGGAACTGAGCATCCTTAATTTTTACTGATCTCAGTGCATGGCAGAGCTGCTCAGCACCTTGGAGGATCAAATACTTTCATACAGCAGACTGTGCCTTTGTGCTTTTCAGGCAGTTTCCCCTCTTTTTCTTATCCTTCTCCCCTTTCTTGTTTCATAATTTTTTCATATAATACAAGGTACAGGATTTTTTTTTACAGATGCTCAATATTTACCTTTTGTTCTCTTGTTGCTCCTCCAAATTAAACAGGACCTTTCCCTTATGTCCCTGGCTAATTTTTCCTGGTTAAAAACGATTGAAGGATTGTACTCATTGACTGTTACACATCAGAGACTGATCTGTGGCTGCATTAACTGACTGTGTTCCCATAGATCTTTGTATTCCTGCACATTCTGAGAGCTGCTACTCCAAAGTGAAGCCAACTTTTCCTTATCATCCCTATTTTTAAAGCATGGGCTCATTGATCTGGCAGATTTCATTTCAGTGCTCTGAGGTTTAGAGAGGCTGTTTCTAATACAAAGCCTTATTGCCACCCCCCTGCTATACATGTTTCACTTGAACTTTTCATAAGTACTGCAGAACTTGAGGGAAGTAAGCAAAGCGTAGGTGGTGCTGAAGTCCAATACTTTGGTCATGATCCGTTTCTGCAGACAAGCTGCTTCATTCCCGTCTATAGAGGGAATCTATTTCCACCTATAATCTCCTATTGAAAGCAATTATTTGATATCACAAACTTTTTAAACACATCTGAAGTGAGAATTGAAAGGCTTTTTCATTTCCCGCAGCGTTAGAGGTCAAGGAAGAAACGTAAGAATCAGTCAAGTGATTGAGTGATCGACCCGATATTTAGCACGAGGATCCCTCAGAGCAATAAGGACCTGTTCATCTGTGTGGCTCCCTCTGAAAGGGGAACCTGGCAAACCCCCCAGCAAGCGAGACCTCTCCTCAGCATCACCCCCAGTGCCCTCGTTCGTACCTGTGGAGGTGGCTTGCACGGTTTTCCTCATCCACTCGTAGCTGTGCCTGTGGCTGCTGGGGGAGCAGTGCTGGGCACTGCCGGGCTCTGCGGGAGGAGCCCCCCCCGGCCCCGGGCTGCAGGGAGCTGTACTCGGCGGGGCTGTAGGAGCCCGGGGCGGGGGACGGGGCGCTGAGCTGGGCAGTGCCCGCGCCGGAGGGGCCCGGCCCGTACGCGTTCCAGTCCTCCCTCTGCGGGCCATAGTGGGAGCCCCAGGGCCCCGGCGGCTGCCCGTGGGTGTCCAGGGCTGGCACGGGGTGGTATCCCATGTACTCGGGGTAGGGGGGCGCGGACACGAAGCCCTGCCCTGGCAGGGTGCTGCCGGTGCACCGGGTAGAGCCTGGGTACATGCTGCTCTCCTGCTCCAAAAGGTAGCTCACGTACATGGTGCTCAGAGCCCGGCTCTGTCCTGCCGGGACATCCTGCTCCTCGCAGGGCTCGTTTGATCTCCCTTCCCCTCCTCTTTCTTTCTCTCTTTTCTAGCCCTGCCTGGCTCTATAAATGACTCACGCTAGCCCTGATGTTCCTTTACTACACATGATTAACAATGGTTTTACCAGGTGCTGGTGGTAACAGTTTACTAAGGCCCTGCCTGATGTCACAGATAACTGCCTACCCCAAAATTACATTTGCATTCAAATGAAGGGCTGCCCATGCAGGCAACCCCACCTTGCTGCGAGTTCCAGTGCTTCCTTTCTCACAGCTCTCTATGGATTGCCAGCCCCGTCCTATATTTGCAGAAAGGAGTTTGAAATCTCGTGCTCTTCAAGCAGAGCTGTGTCCATAGCTACCCATAACTGTTGAGACAGTAGAGGCAGCATTTCTCTTGAGCCCTGCATGCCAGAATCTAACTTCAGGCACCAGCTTATAGTCACTTAAAGCCTGATTTCTGCCTGTCCAGTAGTAGTTCTGTCAGAGTGTGCTGTATTATTTTTTTAAACTAAACCCAAAGGACCAGTTCAGTCTTTAACTGGAGCTCTTATATCGTTTCTCATGTGAACACCCTTCTTGACTTCAGCTCTTAGTCTGTGTGGGAGAGCACTTAGAAACCGCAGTAATCCTGCTGATTTTAACATTACAAAGGATATACAAGAAGTCTCGTAGTCATTTTGAGCATTTGTTCATACGAATAGTCTTGTTGATGTTAGCGAGCCGATTCACGAGCTGGCTGCTTGCCACGGTGATTGAAGTTCCTCGGTTCTAACTTACAGAAAGAGAATCTGTTATTGAGAGAATGCAAAATTTGTCACTTTGCCTATGCTCGTGTCTTGTTTGTGATATTGAAATGAGTGGTATCTTCCCCTGAAGGTTTTTCTGTTCTCATTGCTGCGCTTGTTCACAATAAGGAGCACCTTTTTTTAGAAAGATGGGAGCAAATTAGAGCTTTTTAGCTCAGAAAAGCAGTTTCCAACTTTCAGGAGCAATCTTATGTAAGTAACAAATCCCTACGAGATCATCTGTAAACAGGAGCAAGGAGAGAAAGTGTGGATTTCTTCTTTTTAAGTGAGATAGATACCTCAGCATTGTCTCTTAATGGGACTTCACCCTGTTTTCATTCCTGTTCTTTAATGATGTGATACTTAATTGCACCTTTATTAATGATCCAACTTGTTAAAGGGATTTTCCCCTTAAACAGGTGCAAAGTATAATGAGTTTTTCTTTGTTCAGAGGTGTATTTTTTCTCTGAGAGTCTTTTGCACATCAACGCCGTTTAAACTTAGAGGTTCTCAGGAGGAGAGAATTACTTTGCACACCTGACAACACCGATGTTTCCTTCAGTGAGAGAAAGGTGTCCTCGGGCTGAATTCACAACATGGGTGGTGGAAAAGGTTTTTCTGACTGAGAATTCCAGAGCTAGGTGCAGAAGCACAGCCACCTTCTCTGAGTATTTAAGATTTTCCTACTGTGCACGTTGCTAAAACTTGTGCCTGTTTGCATCTGGAGTTTTCGGAGGCGGATGTCTTGCTGGGTGTAATTGCTGAAAGGTATTTTAAAAAACATTAGGTGGAGGGAAGTTGGCAGAAATGGTTTCTTCTGCTTGCATATGTGAGCTTTTTGGGCTGCAATTCACACTTCTGTCCCAGCTGGTCACTCGGAATGACCAAGCAGAGTGGCTGGTACAGCCTCCCCAAATCCAGGGAAGTCACTGCTCAGTGTGTCATGGATCTGAACTGCACAATTCTCCTGTAGCAGCAAAATAAATCAGTTATTAATTAGGAATGAGCTGGCTGTAGACAAGTGTCTGCAGTTACCAGCACAGTGTGATTTCAATGTTCGGGTTTTTAGCCAGTGTTTCCCTCCCTGTCCCAATCGCTCAGAGCACTGTGGTTGCTTGGTAGCTCTCAAGTTTAGACTGCATTGAAATAGTTACAAAGAAAGATGCTTTACAGCTTTTTGTTGTAACTTGATTTCATTTCCTTTCCTCTTCTTCAAAACTGTTGGAAATTGTCCTTGTAGGCATTTCAGTGCCTCTCCTGATGCAGGTGTACCAATAAATCAGCCAGAGGAAGGGGCAGCCTTTGCTCCTTTTCAGCAGCATTAGCTGTGGCCCTCCAGCTGTTTGGAAAAGGTTCCAATTATGTTCATTCAACAAAACTTTCCCCGCAGGCTTTATCTACCTGATACACCACAGCACAGGGCTCTGCAGAAGGGCTGGGTCTCCCTGCATCCTTTGGATCGGTGCTCAGGAGTGTTGGATACACCAGGCAGGGATTCATTCTTTACCCATTGTTACCTGAGAAACATCTGGATCAGGTTTTTCATAGTGGTATAACTCGGCTGAAGAAGCTGCTGAAAGTAGTAAAATAGTGATTATTCATATGGATTAGAAAAAATGACATAAAAACCCCTTTTGATGCTTTCAGCTGATACAGGTATGTAATGACATGGCAGAGACTCTTTTCCTCGGTCTGTGCTGCCTAAAGAAAGTACTTTACAGTCTCTGATCGTTAAAGTAACAATACCTTACCCCTCTGGCCACATGCTGTGCCCACTAAGCAGGAAACGCTTCCTTTGGCTTCCCCAGTACCCTAAGTTGGTCTGATTTCAGCAGGGCTGTATTTCGGGTTTGCTTAGTCCAAGGTTTTCTAATTTATACCATTTAAATCTAACCTATTAGTTAAACCACAGTCATTAGACCAAAGTGTTCTTTACCTACTGGAGCTGTGTGAATAATCACATGCTGACATGTTGCTTTTAAAATGAAACATTTTCAAAATTGCTCAAACACAAAGTGTAAAGGAATTGGGATTTGGGTTGCTTTTCGTACTTTCTAGGAGGAATATGTGTTAGTGACAGGTGTCCTGTTGAGAAGATCAGTTGGGTATAAATCTGCCATCCTGCAGTCAAAAAACCCACAAACCCTGAAGTTTCTCCACTCTGTTATTACAACTGTAAAGTGTTTGTACACAGAAATTTAAGTGTACAGTGCTTGGAACTACTTATTTTGGTGAATAAAGCTGAAAGTCTGTTAGAAGACAGCAATACAGTGCATTTATGTGTGAAAAAGCCCAGTTCCCTTCCCACAGGCCTTCAGGAGGGAGCTTGTGGCACAGCAGGTGCCCAGTGTTTCTCTGGGCATTGGTACTGCAAACAGCAAAGTTCAGTTTGGCACTAAATTGTAGATTTCAAAGTGAGAGGAGTTTTGTTTCAGGACTTTAACCCATTTGAAAGAAAACTGCCAATATATTTGGGTTTCTGAACTCTTCCTTACACCAACTTGGTAAAACTTTTTACTTCTTATATTATTTTGGTAATCCTTAAATCTTCGTTCGCGAAGCCTAGCCATGATTTTGGCAATAATTCTGCACTGACACTTCTGAATTTCATTTTGCTGTTCTGAATAAAGCTCTCTGCAAACATTTTGGTTTAGAGTATTATCATTTGACATGCAGGAATGGCAGTGGCTCAGTGGAGAGAGGTCCCTCCAGAGCAGAGCCTGGAGAAACAAAGTAGGAATCTCTCTTTCCTGAGTATGTTTTTCCTATAACTATATTTTGAGGGATAGCAATCTCAACCTTTCCTACCCTTCTCCTCTTTGCATCCAAATCCATAACCTAGATTATATTAAGCATATATAGCTTTTCATCATTCTTTTGTAAGTAGCAACATTAAGGCTAGAAAAGCAATTAAGGTAGAATTAATTGCCTTGTAAAATGTTAATCTTCTTTCTTAATGGCATCTCTTACATGATAATAAATCCCAAACAATATCAATATGAAATCAGATTTCTCCAAGTTGATTTGTGAAGAGACCAAGTCCAACATCTTGTGGATGTAACAAATATAGTGACAATTCTGTGTTCTGGGCTCACGTTAAGAAGTCAAAAGTTGAGTGGAAATGAGAAATTGTCCTGAATTCTCAAGAGAGGAAAGAACTTTATTGTTCTGAGATGAGCCTACAACACCTTCTCCCTGGGGCCTCTCTGAGATGCATTTCTCCAGTTCTAAACTGGAACAGTTTCTGAATTTGAGAAGTGGTCTCCACCAGAGACACTGGTTGGGAAAACATCTCTGAGGGAGGTTTTCTCAGACCCCGTGGGTCATGGCTGTGTCAGAGACTGGGCAGGAACTCTGCAATGCTCCAGCCCACTTTGAATATTCAGGAAGCTGAATATTCGTGAGCCAGAGTATGCCCAGGTGGCCAAGAGGGCCGATGGATCCTGGCCTGGCTCAGGAAGAGTGTGGCAGCAGGATCAGGGCAGTGATTCTTGCCCTGGACTCAGCGCTGGTGAGGCCACCCCTGGAGTGCTGTGTCCAGCTCTGGGCCCTCAGCTCAGGAAGGACATGGAGGGGCTGGAGCAGGTGCAGAGAAGGGCAACGAGGCTGGAGAAGGGAGTGGAGCACAAGTGCTGTGAGGAGAGGCTGAGGGAGCTGGGGGGACTCAGCCTGGAGAAGAGGAGGCTCAGGGGAGACCTCCTCACTCTCCACAACTCCCTGCCAGGAGGTTGTAGACAGGTGGGGGTCAGGCTCTTCTGCCAGGAAGCAGCAGTAGGACAAGAGGGCTGGGTCTTCAGCTGTGCCAGGGGAGGTTTAGGTTGGATATTGAGAAGAAATTTTTTCCCAAGAGTAATCAGCCATTGGAATGGGCTGCCCAGGGAGGGGGTGGAGTCACCATCCCTGGAGGTGTTTAAGGACAGACTGGATGTGGCATCAGTGCCATGGTCTGGGAACCACGGTGGGTTGGATCAAGGGTTGGACTGGACGATCTCGGAGGTCCTTTCCAACCCAGCTGATTCTGTGATTCTATGATTCTGCCACACGAATGAGTCTGCAGAGCTTCTCTTTGCAGGATGTGCTCAGGTGGTATCCTTGTGTCTCTGTGCTGCTCTGTCCCAGCCTGTCCCCCCACGGCTGTGCTGGATGCAGCCCTTCTGCTGCACGTCCCAGTTCTTACCTACAGAC